GCCTCCTCCGGGAAGAGGGGGGGAGAGGGGGAGCGGCCGCCATGGCGAATAGGACGGTGAAGGATGCGCACAGCATCCACGGCACCAACCCGCAGTACCTGGTGGAGAAGATTATCCGCACCCGCATCTACGAGTCCAAGTACTGGAAGGAGGAGTGCTTCGGCTTGACGGGTATGGCGGGGCGGGCCGGGGCGGGGGCGCGGCGGGGAGCCCGCGCTGACGGCCCGTCCCTCTCCTAGCTGAGCTGGTGGTGGACAAGGCCATGGAGCTCAAGTACGTGGGGGGCGTCTACGGCGGGAACATTAAGCCCACGCCGTTCTTGTGCTTGACGTTGAAGATGCTGCAGATCCAGCCCGAGAAGGACATCATCGTGGAGTTCATAAAAAACGAGGACTTCAAGTAAGTTGGTAGTTTGTTTTTTTTGCTCTTCCGGTTGCCGTACTGAATGCAACTGTCCAAAGCAGCCAGAAAACCTCAGCGCAGGGTTTAGCTTTTAACGGGCCTTCTCGCTAGAAAGCATGTCCTTCCTCTTAAGACTGCTCGCCTTGTCACTAGGGCTGCTGGAATGGCTTGCCTTTGTGCATGCGCTCTCTGTGATAATACACCTCCGCCTGAACGATTTAGAACGAGCTATTAAGGGAGCAATATGAATCTACTTTTTCCTTAGTATTTCTTTTGTCTCTGTGAGTGATAATGCAGTTCCGGCATGCATGAACAACTCATACAGAAACTATACATGTATACTTGAGTATATATAGATACTTGAGCACTTGAGAGGAAGTCTAAACAGCAGTATATTCTATTTATTTCAGTGCTCTGATTTTCCTCAGTAACTTAAGGGAAAAACTTCTTTTATCTAAACTTCCAACTATGCAAAAAGTTCAGATACATGAAACGGTTTACTTTTCAGGTATGTCCGAATGCTTGGTGCATTGTACATGAGATTGACAGGCACTGCCATTGACTGCTACAAGTATCTTGAGCCGTTGTACAATGACTATCGAAAAATAAAAAGTCAGAACAGAAATGGGGGTAAGCACTCTTACTTAGTTGTGGTTTCTTAGCACCTCATAGATGACCTTTTGTTTAAAAAAAATATTTTGCTAGATAAAAGTAAATATTCTGTTTAGTAATAGAAGCCTAAAAAATTGTGGCATAACCGTCTTTTTTTAAACCTTACTTTTACTTACTCATCCTGTGGATAGTCTGTTGCTGGTCTTGCTGACTTGTACAAATGAGAACTGCCTTGCTTATTTTGGTTTCCCCAAGTGCTGTGTTTTCTGTTGGGCACTGAAACACAGTTCTATAAGTACTGAAGAAACGCTGTTTGCATGCTGGTTTAAGCACTGTCAAGCTGCTTAATCCTAGCTGTGCAGTAATTTCCTTTTTGCAAGATAGGCCTCGTGATTTTCCTCATCTTTGAGAATGATTTTAGAACCATTGTTTGTACAGCCCACTTGACATACACTGTCTGAAGCATTTTATCTTTAGCAACTAGTGTTAATCTTACTTTGTCTTTTAAATGCTGCTTTCCACCCCTCCCCAGAATTTGAACTGATGCATGTGGATGAATTCATTGATGAACTACTCCATGAGGAACGTGTATGCGATATCATTCTGCCTCGATTACAGGTTTGGAAAAGTAGATGATTATAGAATTGTTAACTGCCTCAGATTCAGTAGTTGTATCGCTTACTGGCCCTTTTGGCACATGAGATGCCTCCTTAGGCGTTTGTTCTTACTTGGGTCACGTAAGATAAAGTTGTAATGTAATTTCTCTTAGAAACGGTATGTTCTGGAAGAAGCTGAGCAACTCGAGCCTCGTGTTAGCGCTTTGGAAGAAGACATGGATGATGTAGAATCTAGTGAGGAGGAAGAAGAGGAAGATGAAAAGGTTGGTGAACTGTTTTGGAGAGGGATGGTTAAAGCTGGTGCTGAACCACTGCAGAATACTTTATGGCCTGTGAGAAATATTTGAGAGGAGGCTGCTTGCAACTCTTACCTCCCCCCTTTACGTATTTTCATATAAGCTGCTTCTGAGAACATTAGACGCCAAAGCAGTTCTCAAGTGCTCTGTTAAGCTTTTGTGTCTCCTGAAATTCCCAAATCTGGGTCTGTTCTGTGCTTAAACATACTTCAGATAAATTGTTTTACATACATACAATTTCCAGTTGGCAAGCTTAGGCAGTACCACTCGCTTCTGAATGCAAAATACTTGAGGATGGGGAAGCTGGGTTGCATCACTTCTGTAATTTGTATTAATTGTTCAGAAATGTTTATGGATAAAAACCTTGATGAAACAAGACTTACAGAACTTTCCCCTGCCATTGTTTCCAGCTGGAACGAGCACCCTCTCCTGATCACCGCAGAAGAGGCTATAGAGACCTTGATAAACCTCGCAGATCTCCAGCTGTGCGATACAGGCGGAGCAGAAGCAGATCTCCAAGAAGGTAATGTGGCTCTTCTTGAGCAATATTTTAACCTATTGTACTGCAGCTGGCCGGAGCAAAACAAGGAAGCGAAGATGACAATTCAGCCAGTATCTCCACCTCCCAGTTTCTTTAGCCACTTTCTGAAATAAGGAGTTGCAGTGCACAGCCACAGTCAACCCGTCTGCTTGTTTCTGTAGTCATTAAATAACTCTTGAACTTGCTGGCCAACTTCAGCTAAATTTGACAATACAATGAAGATATTAAGGAGAACCAAGGGCTTTGTTTCTGGGTAAACCAGAGGCTGCAGAGAAAATCCTGTTAATTGTTCTTACTGATAATAAGCCAGGGAAAATTCATCACTAACCTCATTTGCTCACTGTATGGACCAGTCCAAAAACCCTACTGCTTCTTGTGCAGGTGGCCAAACACACACTAACTAGTGACATGGGGGAGTGCTGTTGCTGGAAAATACGGGAAATTAAACATCTGGTTCTGCTTATGATTTTTAGTGACTTTTTTCTTTTCTCCTCCCATTACAGGCGAAGCCGCTCTCCAAAGAGAAGAAGGTAGCCTTTTATTCTATCATTTAATCTTCGAATGTGTGCATTTTTAGTATGGCTGTCTTAAAAGCTTCCTTTCTTTCAGTCCATCACCACGCCGGGAGAGGCATCGTAGCAAAAGCCCAAGACGACACCGGAGCAGATCCAGGGAGAGGCGCCACCGATCAAGATCTAAATCTCCAGGTATTTCTGTCATTTAGAAATTAACTCCAGCAAGTCTTTATCAGGAGAACATCCACTGTTAATAAAAATCTGCATCACGGTATCAAGAAGGTAGTGTAGGTGCTTAATCTGGCTAATAAAACTGCTAGTTCTATGAAAGCACCGCTGGACAACTCTAATACATGCAAAATGGCTCTGAGTATGTTTTTCAGATATTTGCCAGGATGTTAATTCACGTACCTAATTAAGGCTAGGGTTGTTCTGGCATTATCTAGGACACTTGGTCACTAGAAGCAGATTGCATTAGCAAACGAAAAATAATTCCAGGGTATATGGAAATAACTGTTAACATTTTATCTCCTAGGGCATCATCGTAGTCACAGACACAGAAGTCATTCCAAATCACCTGAAAGGTAAAGGCTTGGCCTATTTCTTAAGAGTGTCTGTACTACTGTAGGAGCTCTTACTTGTCATTTAATGTTGGGGATTTAAGGTCCTCTTACAAGGTTGGAGATCAAATATTTGAGACAGTATCTCCCTCAGTGTTGTAGTCAAGTGATACTATCTGTATTTGACCATAGAAAACAGTATTTACTGCTATGAATCAGCATGGTCTTTCAAAACAATAACTAGTGCTGTATCATACTGGGGCTTTTTTAATTTATTTTTCTGTTTCAGGTCTAAGAAAAGTCACAAGAAGAGTCGGCGAGGGAATGAGTAACAAACTAAATCCAGCACAGAGTTTAAGGACCTTGAACTGCAGCCTAATACTGTCCTATTTGCTTTACAGGACAGCTGGATATGTACTGGCTGCTTTAGCAGTCCATTTCTTTAATTGTCCTCTTGTACAAGTCTTGGGTTTTTTAATTAAAAGAAAGTTAAGGATACTTTTTCTGTAGTTTGTTAATCATCCTTGTGATAGAGTTTGAGGATTGTTTTTAAATTGTTTTTCTCAAGGCCTGTAAAAAATAGTGAAGAGCAATAAACCTAAGGGGGGGGGTTATTTGTCTTTAAAGGCTCCTTGCTTTTTCTTTCATAATACTTTGTTTAGATGGCTGCCAGCTGAAGCTGGCTTCATTCTCAAACCAGGGCATTGTTTTGATAAAGAACCACTGCATTCAGTTGCCAAAGTGACAGTATGTTCAAGTTATGGACATGGACAACCTACCAGCCTGAAGTATCTCAAACCTCCAGTACAGGAAAGGAATTACGACTCTCATAATCCAGTGTGTTTACCAGAAGCAAAAGTTAACTTAAAACAACTCTCCAACACAGCTGTTACTGGTTCCTTTGTAAGAATCATCCTTAAGTCTAATGATCTACTCCATCTGATGCTACTATCAGACAGTATAGAAGCTTCAAGTAGTACGAAGTACCACTTAATTACTTTCAGGCAAGAAGTTAATTCAGTATATTTAAAGACAGTAAACACTACTTTGAGCATAGTTCATGGCCTACCTCTGACTGGGGCCAGAATATGACACATAAATGCTCAGCACTACCTTCTCTGAAAGAAATTGCCATTCAGCAAGTCTGTTTTTCAAATTCAGAATAATTAAGCTCTTACGCAAGTTACAGTTCTCATCCCAGGACATTTAACTATATATCCCAGGAAATCGGCTGTGTTAAACCGCTTGTGTACCATGCCTTTCTTCATAGTCTTGCTTCAGCAGAGACTGACAGGTTTATCTCCTGAACACTGCATTTATGGCTTAAGTATTTTCAGATACTGCCCCACGAGTGTAGACAACACAAAAAATAGTATGCCAAGTGAATTTAGGGAAAGTCCTCTTTAAAATTACTTCATAGTACAGCCTGATTCTTCTGAAGTACTTTCATATTATTTTTAAAGTTTATGAACAGAAAAGCACGTGTGCTCTTCCCTCAAATCAAGTACTCTACAAGACGGACATGCAATGACACCAGCCTCGTTAAAGGTGCTGATCTTTCATCTCTTTTAAGATACGTAAATTAAAGTTGTTGACACTATTGTTGTTTCCTAATTACAGGTAAATGCAAGCATGCATACAAATAGGGAAGAGGAAAAAGTCTTATGTCCTTTTTTTTCAGTTTTATTTTTCTTTTAAAAAGTTTTTTGGCACTACATAGTTCTGTAAAGAATAGAAGTGACAAATTTTTAAACACATGAAATCCCCTTCTAATTTTATTTTTTTTAGAACAATATATATAAAGTCTGAAGCAACCAAAGTATGAATACAGCTAATAGAAAATAAAGAACTTAATTTTAGAAATTCTCTCTCTTTACAGTTTATCAAGATAAAACAAAACACAATTCCCCTTAAAAATAGGGTAATAAAATAGATGAAATTTGTATCACTCAGTTTTGTGATACTAGTAAAAACTATAGTTCATATCTATGTACAAATGATACAGTTTAAAAACAGTCTTAAATAATCTTGTATCTAAACATGTTGCATTAAGATTTTAAATCAGAACCTGAATTTTTTTTCCTTCCCTCCCCCCCACCCCCCTCCCAGCCTGTTAAATTTCACTTTTTCTGTTGAATGTAATTCAGATTCAAGTGTGGGTGTCCTTGAGACAGAAGCGAGAACCGCTGGTTATTCTGCATCAGTGGACCAGCTAAAAGAAAATGGATTACAATTACTTCAGCAAATTAAATATATTTAACAGTGCTTGGCTATATTCAATGTATTAATCTTAGAAATAAAGCCATTTACTAGACTGACATAAATGCTATCTCCAAAATTCCCTCACAATCATCAATACATCATTCTGTTGCGTTACTTCAGTTAAGAAAAATAATTTCAGGATCTTTAAATATGGTTCTCACTTGGGAACCTTGCTACAGCAAATAGATTGGATTTTTGAAAAAGGATATGGTGCCAGCATCTCTCATTTTATACTAATGACCCAGCAACATGGTAATTGCAAAGCCTCCAAGTAAAATTTGGGCATAGTTTCCCTTAATGGAGCCAAAGGTCCTTCTCCTACAGCCTTTCCCAATCCTGCCAGATGCTGAACACCTTTCACCACTCACTAGCATCAGAGAGAGTTGAGATAGTCCTTCAAAGTACCCTGAATAACAACCTGATCTAACTTTGAAGTTAGTGCTGCCTTGACTGCAGATGGGTTGGACTAAATAACCACCAGAAGCCCTTTCCAACCTAACCTAGTCTGTGGTCTTGCCAGTTTTAAGCCTATATAAGTCATTCCACAAGGCAAGGTACAAAAACTAAATAAAATCAATTAGGACAAAAATTTATTCCTATTCTTAACATGTTCGTGGGCAAATCATTTCAACCTCTATTGAAGCAGAGGTGGTTCTACAGTGAGACAGCAGCAGCGAAGGAGAAAGAGGCTAGCAGTGCAAGAGACTGCAAATTGACTGATTTCAGAATTTAATTTAAACCCCTTCCCTCCCACAAAGATTTTCATCCATCCATAAAGGAAGCCGAAGCGTTGATTTGACTCTTGGGTTCAATATGGTTCCAGGGAGCCTAGCAAGTGAAACATGATTCATTGGCTTTTAAAGCCTTTGAGACAGTAAAGAGACATGTTGCATGAGCTGTTGATTCATATACTAGATCTAGTACCTTGAGGGTAGAAAGGTTTGTTCGGTGGATAGCTGGCATTTCCCTGCTGCATGTAGTTCTGAGGCATATTGTAAGGCCACGCTCCTCGGAGGAGAGGAAAATGGGTAGGGGTCCCATGGTCCCAAGGGACAGAAGGAGGGTTCATTTTACCAAACTGTCCTTGGAAACCCTGATCTATTTTTCAATTGAAAGGGAAAAGCACATTGCAAGTTGAAATAATTAAACAGTAAGCCACAAATACAATTTACATCTTAAATAACAGTTTGCAGGGGGCTTAATGTGATTAGTCTGATGTGCTACTTTTTTATTTTTTTTTAAATATACATCAATAAAAATTACCACCTAAATTACTTCATTATTCACTACAATAAAATTTATTGGGGAGGAAGACAGAGGATGAATCGGTATTAAAAATCAAGACCTACAATTTCACTATTCTGTTCTCATGATGAAAAATACAGGGTCTGAACAATGTTACTAATATCTGATCCCACACAGATACTCGCTATCACTGACATAGCTGTGACATGAAAGCCATCCTACTACAAGAAATAATTCTCAGATGTACACTGGAATTCCACTAATACTTGTATGCTTAAGAAACTTGATATCTAGACCAGTGAACCAACTTAAAATTAATTTTTAGAGAGAAAAATAAAAACTTTTGAAATAAGTACACAAACTGTAAGCTATTCCATTTACAAATCCAGTATTAACGCAGCATTAAGGATGAGAAATCAAGCATCCAAGGAGGCAGGACACACAACAGTTGATGCCAAATGCTGTATTAATAATCCTGCTCTTTTTGTTCATAGCTCCCAATTTTATAAGACTCAGTAATGCCTGCTAATTTAAAAACTTGAACAATACACATTTAATAATAAATAAATAAATTTAAGTAACTATCATTCTCAGTATATCAGTTTCCCTTCAGGCTCATCATAAAAAAAAAAAAAAAAAAACAAACCCAAACTTGTAGACAGACTTTCATTAAATAAAAGCAAGCTCTGCATTTAAAAAGAACAGTAACTTTTATACAATAAAACATGAAGCACAGCTCTGAAGAATGCATGAAAAAAAGTTGTCTGCCTGAAATTGTTCACTGCAAAGAAAGTAAAGCTGCTCCTTCCAAGTCAAGGTTATGTGAGCCAAGACGAAGTTTCAACGAAATTCCCGTTCTCAGATCGTCCTGAGCAAGTAAGAAAGCAGGCTTCAAGTAGAGAACAGACAGCTCATCTCCACTGTGCGCCTACCCAGTGACCCCACCTTAGTGGTGTCTAAGTCAAAAAGGAAACAGAACTGATTAAAATACCAAGAGGAAAAATACTAGGACTGGGAACTAGGAAAAGGAGTGTGATGAGATTGGAAACAGATGGAAGTTGAGGGAAGGGAAAAAAATACTGTGACTGACAGCACAAGAAAACTGCGAAACCTTCTGTGCAGGCACAATGAGAGTGGAAGCAAACAGAGAGCAAAAGGAAAAAGACTGAAGATGGGGACTGACTTACTACACGATGAGAAATGGGACTCGTTAAGGGAGGATGGAGCAGCAACTAGGATTTGGAGAGCTTGTCTGAAAGAAAGCAGCTACCTGGGTAAGAAGACTTGGATTGAAAGGAGCTGCTTGAGAAAGTCAGAGCTGGGGTGGACATCAAGAGGGGAAAGACAAACATGGACAAAGAATTAAGATCAGAAATGGAGAGGTAGGGACAAAGCACACTGAAGGCACAGAAAACACACTGGTAGCAGTTTCTGTATCCTCTAAAATATATTCCCCACAAAGCTCTGAATAGAAAAACATGCATGTCCATCATCTCAACAAATACCTGAAGCTCACTGGCCAATTATACATCATCCAACAGTGTTGACTCAGCTGAAAAATCTACTGTTGCTATCCATCACCTTACTAGTGCAGAGAAAGGCTGTGCAGGAGATTCAGAATTTCCATCTTCTGATGAACAACTGCATCAGTATACTGTATGATGGATATAGTTTTTAAATGTAGCAGTAAACTCAGAATAAATCAAAGACCATTATCATGATCTAAAGATCACAGTGAAAATTTAGGGGCTGCTATGGTTTATGTTGCACAGAAAACTGTATGGCCTTTAATTACTATATACTGCTTTTCTCAGCCTCAAACACACAAATGGATTTGGCTTTAGTATGAGGCAAAAGGCTGTTGCCCACTTGTTGCAGGAAAAACCTGTATGAACAATTTTCAGGAAACTACATCAAGATTATGGAAGTTAAGTGTGGCAGGATAAACTGTAGGAAAAAAGAATGCATGCGATCGTGTTATATTGCACTAAACGCAAGAATAATCAACTTGCACAACCATAGTTCTGACAGTCTCTAAGTTAGTAATTGCAGTCTCAGCGTTCATCTAATAAGCTACATAACAACATGAATGAAAACTGTGCTTGTAAGCATATTCACAGAAATATGCTTTGGACTCAAACAATTATTAGAACATTTCTCAGTTGAATGCATGATTTCTCATGTGTTGCATAGCTGCTAATAGCAGATAGAACCAGTGCCTAAAAGTTATAATGATCCGACTTGCCTAATTTTTTTCCTATGAAAATGTTGACAATTAAGGTAATGACTTCGTTTCTTAAGCATCGTATTTTTAATATAAAACAAGCTGAAAGAGTTAGCTGTTTCTGTAACACTTAACACTTGTACACAAAGTGCGAGAGGTTTGATACAACAGAGAAGAGTTACCTGAATTCCCCACAGTGCCATTGTTCACCAGTGAGTTTGGAGTCACAGGATTGTGCCAGTGTCCCTCATGAGAAGTGCTGGGGATTCCCATGGGCCTGGCAGCAGGCTGTGCAAAGATGATACTGGGATCATTCAAGCTTACACTGCTCTGGTTATTTGTGGTGCTACTGCTGCCAGATCTCATAGAAAATGGAACATTTGTAGAATGAGGAGGGTTACCCGGTGCAGAGTGAATAACGGGCCCATGAATAGGCCAAGAAGTGTTGGGAAGCTGAATTTGGTGGTGATGGTGCATCTGAAGTAGTCCCAGGTTATGCAAGGTGGAATACTGACCTGGGGGAGATTGGGGAAAGTTAAACAAAGGCAGCTGGACCTGATGGGGTGGCTGTGCACCCTGCTGTGGTTGCGGAACGTGCTTAGACTGGGATATTGGTTGTGGCTGAGTCTGGTTAATGGAGGCTGGCTGAGAGGAATTCTGTGTAAATTGTTGAGGTTGTGGAGAGTAAGATGACTGATGCGAATCAGACTGGAGGGGAAAAAAAAGGATGTATTTCTGATTAGTTCACTAGCTATTTAATGGTGGTTTTCTTTAATAAGCACCTACTATATTAGACTATTCATAAAAAAGGCAGAACACTCCCCAGCAACACCCCAAATACTGCACCCAAGTTCCTGATGGTTTAAATAAGTGCAGTTTGACTGACACTAATTTTCACCAGCAGCTTTTTTTGATCTGTTGAAGTGGCACATCCCACCATCAGAAATATTCTGAGCTAACATTAGCCCCAAGCTCTTCATTAGACTCCTCAGACATCTGTTTCTGATTTTTAATCAGTGTCTTCCCCACCCTACTTATTTACAGCCCAGAATCTCATTAACTAATTATCTCGCTCTTAAGTAGAGTGGTTCTTATTACTACAGATACTTTTTTTTAAGCAATTCCAAAGTAAGCTCCTAGTATTTCTTTATTTTTTATTTGATCTGTTAAACAAGAAATCAAAACTCCAAAACCCCAGTTTCAGCCTCCATATCCTGATGTTAAGCCATGGCTAATGACTCAGAAATAGCAATTATCACAGCCTTTGCACAAGTCTTACAAAGCTTTTCCTTCCACCAGCCACAGAAACAGGCATGAACCTATTTCCTCTATTTGGTACTGCAACTAAGCAGAGCAGCACTTCAAGAACTGGGGTGACTGGGAGAAGAATTCCCCCGTTTATCTGCCAAAATCTATTACCAACGTCTGGATTAACCAAATCTGGTTTAAAGCACTAAAGTGAGATAGTGATGTCATAAGATTGGTGCCTCCAAAGAGAAATTAAAATGACAGACAGATCCCTAAACCAGAGATGATTACTCCCCCTGGAGGTGCTTGTCTCCCTCCTTAGACTATAGCAGACAGCTAAGCTCCAAGTAACTCAGCTGCTGTTGAACATCTAAAGTTAAAGGTCTCTGCAGCTTGTCACTATCCATGACTGCTCACCTGTCTGTTTAAATTGGCAGTCACTTTTCTTCAATAACCAGAGGTCTGCAGGACTTCCCTGTGCCAGCCTGTCACACCATTCCTTAAAGCAGCATGCTGTGTGTCTTTGCCTGGGCAAAAGTTGAAGCCCAGAAGCTGGGACTGCTCCCTGCTGCTATTCCAACTGTTCCTATATAAGTGCTTCCTATGCCTTTCTATCAAACCAGGAAGATAAGGTAAAACCTGGGACTTGAAAGGCAACAACTAGTCTAACAGTTTAAATGTTACAAAAATAGAGCACATGCACTGACTAGAGCCCTCCTGAAAACATTAAACCACCACAAGCATGCACTGGGCATGCCAGCACCAGGAAAGGAGAAATGTTAAGCTTCAGCCTCTTGGGTCTGCTTCCACACTCCTGCTTTCCCTTTTCTCTACCTCTTGCTCCAGTAACATTCTCCTTTCCTATTCTCCTCAATCTTCAAAAGGCATCCTACCTTAAAGCTCAAAGATAGCCTGCAATTCTGAAAGGCCAGCCTTGCTATCTCATATGAAATTTGACTATGTAGTTTCCATACTGAAAGACCATAAATGCTCTCCAAGAGACACTACTTTATAAATCAAAGTTTCATTAACTGTCATTGTTCAATGATGTCATTATAAAGTCCAGAATCTGTTGAGAAAAAACTGTGCAAACCTGTTCCTAGAATGGCCCAGCATCTCTGGTTTGCTACAGTTTGCTTACTTCAATACTACAGCTAATTGTAACTTACACATTCTGATGACTGTCTAGTGCGCAAGGGTCGTTCCACTTGATGCTGACTCACAGCCACTAGCTGCGAATTTACCATGCTTCGGACCAACTGGGTGCCTAATCAGGGAACAAAAATGTTAGTAAAAACTACAAGGTTACAGATGACAGAATAATGAACACAGAACTGGGAGTCAGCAATACCTTAACTCTCATGTGACAGAGTACGTAAATCACTTTAATCTCTTCTCTTCTTTAAACAGAAAGCTTTCCCTCTACTGGCAACAGCTGACATTAATAGGTGTACCAGCTAAACCCAAAATCTAATTCTGAGTAATACAGATTCTAGCATGAACAAAGCACTTTGCTATCAGGCAGGAGTGCTACTTTATACAGGTTTCCATGCTATTGCTGTAAGCAGTGGAATTTTCAATAGCAATAGCAACAGCAGAAACTTTTGGGCAAAGAAGGAAGGAAAAAAAAAGGGAGGGGAGGGAAGAGAGAGTAAGGGGTACCAGAATACAGAAAAGCAGCAAGGTTCTCTCTGAAGTTCATTTATGATTGCTTTCTCTACTTTTTCAAGTACTGCAGGCACCTGAGGGCCTAATTTGAATGGGTTTGCAATTAGACTTGTCTCTAATTAGCAGGAGTAATTTGAAAGCTGGATCTAGCTTCCTAATGCATCTGTATACTTTTGGAAGTGTTACTTTAAGACCACTGATTTTTGGTGAAAATATATTTACTCACCTCGCACAGATGATGGAGGCTTAGCTAACATTTGAGAAATATTTGGAAGAGGAAATGCATTCAATTATTACTATTATTACTACTCCTAAATGCACCCATTGTGAGTGGAAGACAAATAATGCAATACACTAAAGTACACTATACTTACTGCTGAGTACATTTTTACCACCCATGCAAAGAGTGTACTTCAGGACGCATTGCTCCCCCTGAAGAAAAGCAACACTTAAACTGAAAGCTGTATTTGCAAGGACTGAAACTATTAGTTGCAGAAATTGTTGTTTAAGATAATTACCAAGTCTGTATAGAAACCTAGAGAGAAGGGATCTCAGAACATTCAAATTATACTAACAACACAAACTAACTGACCTGGCACGCTATTATTTCTCTGACGGGTTTGTTTGAATTCAGGACAATCTCTTCTAACATGACCCACATCCCCACAGATGAAACACCTTTTCTCTCTTGTTTCTCTATCATCTTCTTTCACTTCTTTTTCATCATCTTTCTCATTCTCTTTCTTCTTCAACCTGCATAACAATTTTTATTAGCAATTAGTCATCTTTAACATATTTGTTGGCAACATGGACAGTGTAATTGAACAAGTTTGCTGAAAACACCAAGCTGTGTTGTGCGGTCGACACGCTGGAGGGAAGGGATGCCATCCAGAGGGACCTGGACTGGCTGGGCTGGAAAGGTGGGCCTGTGTGAACCTCATGAAGTTCAGCAAGGCAAAGTGCAAGGTCCTGCCCATGGGTCAGGGCGATCCCATGCACAAATACAGGCTGGGCAATGAGTAGGTTGAGAGCAGCCCTGAGGAGAAGGACCTGGGCGGATTAGTGGATGGCAAACTGACTGTGAGCCAGCAATGTGTGCTCGCAGCCCAGAAAGCCAACTGTGCCCTGGGCTGCATCCAGAGCAGTGTGGGCAGCAGGGAGAGGGAGGAGATTCTTCCCCTCTGCTCTCGTGAGACCCCCCTGCTGTGCTGGGTCCAGCTCTGGGGTCCCAGCATCAGAAGGACACAGAGCTGCTCGAGCGGAGCCAGAGGAGGCCACAAAGATGATCAGGGAGCTGGAGCAGCTCCCCTGGGAGGCCAGGCTGAGAAAGTTGGGGGGGTTCAGCCTGGAGAAGAGCAGGCTCCGGGGAGACCTTCGAGCGGCCTCCCAGTGCTTAAAGGGGGGACAGGAAAGGTGGGGAGGAACTCTTTATTGGGGGGTGTAGGGATAGGATGAGAGGTAATGGTTTTAAAAAAAGAAGGCAGATTTAGATTAGATACAAGGAAGAAATTCTTTACTGTGAGGGTGATGAGGCACTGGCCCAGGGTGCCCAGAGAAGCTGTGGCTGCCCCCTCCCTGGAAGGGTTCAAGGCCAGGTTGGACGGGGCTTTGAACAACCTGGGCTGGTGGAAGGTGTCCCTGCCCATGGCAGGGGAGTTGGAGCTAGGTGACCTTTAAGGTCCCTTCCAACCCAAACCACATTCTATGAATATCACAAAACCACAAAAAAATAAAAAAATCTGTAAAGTTGTAATATTGGTATTTTCAAAAGAAATGGTTACATAACCAACAGGTGTAACAGAGTACAAATATCTTAGAAATCCTAGAAAAACACTTTCAGAATCTGGGCTGGTTAACAAACTGTTTGTATAAACTTAACAATCTTAGAAGCTTCCTAGAATTGTCCAGAAGCTATCTGACTGTATTAGTGCAGAACTATATCTGCAGTTAAATACGCTTAGCCTGCCAGTTAGTTTGGGAGTAGTTCTATGGAACAATCCCACTGAGTCAGAATATACATAAAACAAGTTAGCTGTATCTTGTAGATATAACCTCCCCCCTGACTGGAGATGGCATCTTTCCCTATATGAGTATATTAGCACCCTGAGTCTAGACAGGATGTGGAAGAAAGCACTGAGGCTCTTTCAAACACTCTACTAACACAACAAAGAAGAACCAGTGATCAGGAACCAAGACAAGAAATAAAGGTCTTTTCCCACATGGTATCTGTAGGATTGTTAAATATTAATACTATTTTGTAAGTTGTATATACACTCAGAGAGATTCCCTGTGGCTGTGCTGTAGTAGCGATTTGTGTGAAGAGCAGATCACAACTTCTTTTCCTGAGGCAGATGTAGGGAAAGAAGTGATGCAATTCAATGTGCTAGCACTTGTGAAGAGTATGTTAAGGGAATGGCTGAACGAAATAGTTAAACTGTGACCTTAGGGTTCCAGTCCAGTTTCATGTCTCTTGAAATCTGTTGACTGAATAACAGGCTGTAAACAAGGACTTTGTAGCAGGAAGAGACCAAGAATCTTTTGGAGAATTATGGAGTACGCAACTGAACATAAGGAGTAAATGAAAAAACCCAGACTTTAATCTGCATTCTAAGGGCTTCAGTAGGCTTTAGGAGTCAGATAACCTACGCTGAATGGGTCATTAAACATTCAAAGATGTAAAAATGCGAGGAGTGCACATTCTCCGTCAATGCCTGCTAAACTGTCTTTGGAGACATTGACCTGCATGTACTAGGGACTCCTTTTGCTCATACTAGATCCAAAACTCTGAAGTGCAATTAATGTACAAATGCAAGATCACTAAGCAACCGACACTAGTATGGTGTTACAGAAATTCACCTTAATTATGTACATTTTAACTATTCCTAGATTTTAATAGATGAACTTTTACCTGTCCTGCAGAGGTACGTTATTGGATCTGTGGAACAATAAAAATTCAACACTGTCTGCTGAACAATTTTAATACATTAGAAATTGTGCCGTTATGTAGTATGGTCTCCAGCTGAATGTTTACACTATAAAAAGATAATTTAGTGATCTAAACTTTAAGGTAAGCTGTAGCTACAGATAGATCATGAAGCAAAAGTATAAGCATACTGCAGACCGCTGATTTTACTCTGTGGGTGCTTGCATAAACTAAGGTTTAAAAAAATGACCAGAAATAGTCTTAAGAAAAGCAAAAATAGGATGGAAAGTTGAGGATCAGATATGAAGCTATGATTTTCTCTGTAATTCAGCATATTCTTCATTTCCATTAAAATTTCAAATATCCAAATCTCTCCTCATTTCACCTCAAAGATCTTATGTTAGCTTTGTATATTACTTACCTCCTCCTCTTTGGACAGTCTTTCATGTAGTGACCAATTTTTCCACAGACACGACAACATCTGTCATTGGGTGCCAATTCCCCATCTGTCAGCACTTTTGAGTCAAAAAAGTATTCCTATCAAAACACATCAGACATACAATATATAAACCATTCTCTTACAAGACTGAGAAATTAAAGCAAAATGGATTAATCTCTTACTTTTCCCTAAATTTTATTACTACTTAGATTATACCTCGTCCTTTTCTTCCCCTAGATAACGACATCTTCTTCAGAAATGTGGAGCAGTTTGGGCTAAAAAGGGGTATTTAGTCTTAGAGGCTGAATTTGCAGAGCAGCTTATCCACACTGCAGCTTGCTGCCTACCTTCTGCCTCCCAAAGGCTCTTCAGAGCACAATTTTCTGCATATGATCTATTTTTGTATCTGAGTCACTGATTATATGCTTTCCAAAGCAGCCTATGTCCCTTCCCAAATGACACGAATATATCCCTCTAGATAGAAAAAAGCTCAGGTGAGAAACAGATGGAGCATCCACACACTGACCTACATCACTCCCCTCCCCTGGAATTTGCCAAGGAGAACGGCAGCTCTGATGTGTGTCAGTGCAAAGGCCACAGATTACAGCCTCTGAGCAACATAAACGTTGTGAAAATACTATCTTGCCTGAAAGACTGAAATAGAGGTACAAATAGAAATGTCCTAACCCCAGCTCAGGAACAAAGTCCCACAATAGACAGAATTTACTGCACCTTTTTGCTACAGTTTCCTCTCTGTATCACTAAGCTGCAATACAGGGCATTAGCTTAGGAAGATGATCAAGAACTCCTCCTTTGTTGGCCACTCTGAAGAAATAAAATGCTATGTAATACTATTGGCATTATTTCCTTCACATAAGAAGACAGTTCATTTGCATGCCAAGGCTGCTTTCTGTCTTGCCTTTTATCCTTATGTAAAATGCTCACTGAAAATATTAATGAGGCAGAACACCACAAATAACCACATATACAAACACACGGTATATGCTTCCCAGAAGCACTATAGCCTTGTGTGGAACACATATGCAAACAATTTTTAAAAACCCCAACTAATTAGCAATAATATTTATTACATACACGTGCATATTTATCCGTTACAGATAACTATATCCACACTGTAATTCATTATTTTTTATATCACAGTAGTACTCAAAAGCCCCAATAACAACAGGTCCTATTTTATTAGGCACAGCACTAAACAAAACACAGTCACTGCATCAAAGAACATGTAATACAAACTCAGAAAGAACACAGATAAAGTAAGTGAATGGAAAAGAGATGGTAAGGAAGGATGAGAGCAAACAAAAGATTTCAGAAGATTTACAAAATTCCTCAGAAACACAAACTCTGTTGAAAGTCATGGGGAAAACAGTCCCCTAAACTGTCTTAGAGTAGATATTAAAAATGCCTTTCTAAATAGGTGTTAAAATATTAATTCCAGCTGATTTATTTGCTCATCTAAAAAAAAAAAAAAAACAAACCACCAAAGTTCTCTATAACACATCCATGTCTGGATTCTGTAGCACAGAGGAATGCTTTCTTTAATATGATGTTGCATGAACACATTCCTGACACTGACTCACTATGCAAATTTTGAAGGTCTGCTGATTGAAAAAAAAAAAAAAAGTTGATCATCATCCTTTTCCTTCCTTAAGCAGCAACCTTTACTTTTTCCACCAACTGGAAAAGTAAGTAGAACGTAACATCTTCTGAATCTGTTTTCTTTAGCCACATGAATAGCTAGTAAAGTTTCTAAAGCTGTTTCTGGGTTTTATGGTCAATTTAGAGTTTTCCGCAATACTTAACATCGCACAATGAAAAGTTTTATTAAAAAAATGAAAACCAAAATAACCTTATTTTCCCCAAACCTGTCAAAAATACCCATCGCCCATCCAGCTACTCCTGTGTATTGCAGGAGCCTAATATTAAGCTGTACATTTTATGCAGATGATGTGTTATTACATATATTGTTCATACTAAAGTGATAAATATGTGTAAGAGATTCATTTTGGATGCATCAATTCAGTGGACAATGAAAAGTAAAAGTGTTTTTACTAAAAACTACAAAAACTTACAGCTTCTCTTCCAACAGTTGGGTAGAATGGAGTACCAAATAATTTTCTCCCATTGATAAATGCCTTCATTATGAAATTGGTCACTATTAAAGAAAGACAAAGTAATTGGAAAACAACAGAAAATTCACAACAATTTAGAAATTAGTGAACATTAATCATTAGTAGCCATTAATAACTTACTTTTCCTAGAGACTCCAGCACCGAGATTATGATTCAAGTCAAAAGGATCTGAGCAAAGAAGGGAGTAAAACAAATCCGAGTTGGAAAAAATATACTGCAACAAAATTTTTTTTAACACAGACAATTCCATTTTAATTGCACTCAAAGAGTAGATAGTAGCAAAGCGATGCTGAGTGTTTTAAAAATATGTGATTAACTGTAATAAACTAAGAGCAATTTACCGACATATAGTAAAAGTTTGGAGTCTAATCTCGTATTGTAAGGTGTAGGACTTGCAAACAATGCTTTTTTTAAACACTGATTGTAGTTTCCTCACATAAAAATCCTGTGCAATAAGGAGAACAGACCCTCAAGGAACGGTGTTTATCACTCCCTCATTAATGGAATGAAAATTCAGCAGGTAAATACCTTCGATGGCAATACATTTGGATGTCCACTGTTTCTCAAATGTAGTTAACAGCTTCTTCTGACGGATGCTGATCACATATTCCTTGAAGTCAAATTCCTCAGTGTAGAATCGCAGCAACCCTAGCCAGAGTTCTCCAAGTGATTCAGTGTTCTTTCCAAGCGAAGGCAGACGCTTCTTCTGCATGCAGTTGAAGACACAATTTTTTCAGCTACAGTTGCTGAAGTGCCTCTCCTCCTCCTGAACTACCTCTCTAATTATGAGTTTTGCCTGCCATGAACAGTTTCACTTGGTTAAAGTAAGATTAAATCACTACAGTTAACACTACCTCAATCCTGGACTGTTTATTAAGAAAGAGTAAAAAGTATTTTTCCCAATTTATGTTATATACAAACCAAGAAAAAGCAGACATTTTAGAAAAAACTCATTTTGGAATTTATAATACGGATATGGAAGTTTAACTACTCTTTTATATATTACACTGTTAAAAATTTATTACTTTCCTATAAAAACAAGCTTTAAATTTTAGTGACTCTTCTGGAATTAAAATGTTACCAATTCTTCCATGTCATCAAAGAAAAAGGCATTCCATCCATCCACCATTCTTTGTGGTATCTGTTTTCCATCAAATATCTGCCAAAATAGAAAGGGACACAGTTACCACTCTAATTCAAAGTCACTATAAAAGACTTGTAGTTTTGCTGGTAAGAAATAATACAAAAATACAAAACTTTTAATTTTAACACTTATTTCTTATATAGTCAGAATTTCTCATTGGTAAAAAGTTTGAGAGTCTTTTTGCGTTATTGCTATACCTCTCTCAAATTATTTGGATATTTTATTTTTACTTGTTCTTCGCAACTAAGAAAACATGACTGAATTACCTCATCAAGATTCCAACATCCCTCTTGCCCACAAAATCTCTAAGGAGACTTTAAATGACTCCTATTACATTCTGACTTTAGTAAAGCCAAGGGGAAATTCCACTGCTATTTAAATGCACTCTCAGGGTAGCTATAAAATAACAACCCCCAACCACTACTGATGTATCAGCAAGAAAGTCTGAGTCTCAACCGCAGTGCTTAAGCCAATTTTCCTCTTGCACACAGACAACAAAAAAGTCAGAAAGGGATAATTTCCAGAAGTGCTTGGGAGTTCCAAAGTGTGTCCAGGAAGAGGTAGGTAGCTGACTAATTATATTCTCCCCACCCATGCAATGGAGATACAGAACATTATTTGCTTAATAACGTTTCCTGGCACATGTAAAATAGTATCTTTAAAGTTGTAACCAAAGGATTAGTTATCTTTTTTTTTCCCCTCATCAAATCATAAAATAAACTTTTTTGCTTACAGATAAGGTGTTGAGCAATAAATATTGCCTCTGACAGTAACTGATGGAAGAGCTGGACTCACATCTCAAAAACATCTGGCACAGTCTCATAATTACAATTCCCTTCTCTCCATAACACCTGCCATTTTTTTTTTTCTATCCTGTTCAGCATATAAATATCATCATAAGACCAAAACCCCCAAAGTAAATTTAGGTCCAACAGATTCCCAATTTTGTTGTAATTTTCTTGGTAAGTTTTACCCACTAAAACCAAGCAGGAGTTAGGAACCTACTAATGCAGAAGGGCCCCATATTTAATTCATCCCCCTGATCTTAGAAGCCCAAACTTCTCATATTTGGCTTGAAGAAACAGTGCACCTATTTTCATAGCCTCTTCTTCTGAAAACCCACCTCCTGAAGAACTGGAATAACTGGTGGATTTCTTTGCTGTAGGAAGTACAACACCATAAGAATATAGGCATATGAAGACAGACTACCACGGGAAGCATCACCAATATCGCAGCGCTGAAAAAAATACATTTTAAACAAAATACATAATTTACATCTTATTATTCAAGACTAATGACTATGTCAGACAGCAAACAGAAACCCCACCAGTAACAGAAAATACATTAATCTCATAACTAAAAGTTGTTTTATGAAGCCTGAAAAATAAATGTCCCTTAGAGTCAAGTGCCATCTGTAAAATCCACAGCATAATTTGACTAAAATAAAAACAGAAAAGCTTCTCATAGCCAACAAATTTTTTTAGTTTATGTGACAAATTGAAAAAATACAAATCAAAACCCTGAAAACAGATATCCCAACAAATCTCCACATTTGATGTCCAAGTTTCAATACTGTAAAGTTTAATTTGCCTAAACTCATGTTACTAGAACTGTTTCTATGATTCCTTATTGTTTTATTTTCCCCTTTTTTTTATAAATAATTCATTAATAGACCAGCGTTTCCATGTTGTACTAGCAATTTAGGCAATACCTGGCATTTTGCTAGCATACATACACATACCTAACTAAACCATGGTCCAGCCTGCACAACAGAGTATAGAAAAAACGTCAGTGAATTACCTTACTATACTCGAAAATCTTATTACAGTATAACCTTTCTATAGCACCTGCTTCTAAGCTACCATTCGCTTCAAGCATGTGTTGTAACAAACAACACGTTTTTAACCTCCTAGGTCTGGAAAAAAAAGGGATTCACAAAATACTTTCACATTAGCAGCAGTGACAGCTGTTCCTGGTTTTTCAGCCAATGTAAACAGAGGAGGAAGCATTTTACTTAAATGTAGAGTATTTGTATAGCTATGAAGTCACCTTCATACACACATTCAAGAGTATATATCCAACAACTTGGAAACTGTCTTTACAGTAAGATTTTTAGAATGTATACAGTAGTATGCAATACTATATAAAAAAAAATTCTAAGTTTCATTATTTTCAACAGTAGGCATATTTAATCTGGACACACAAGAGACATGGCAACATTCTGCACTTCTGTAGCAACACCAAAAAAAAAATCATTTGTAGTCTTGGTGAGAACATAATGAACATGTACGTTCCATTCTGGAACAAAGTTATTTTACTCATCTTGATACATTTTATTACATTATAATCTGGCAGCATGACATACTCTCTATAACCTGTTTTGTATTTGCTCCTGTTTCACTAAGCTTTCTTTGTATGTGCTTGGGGAATGTATTTAATAATGCAGCTTGAATAAAAAGAAACATCATGTTTCAACTATCAAAAGCTGTATAGTATAACAGTTTGTTAGACTATCTTAAGAAAAAAAGATACAGGAAATTTGGTATTTGATATTTCCAAACTCTTAAAGTCAAGTGTATATCCACACCAAGTAGATACTTACGGATTCATTCACCAACCCATACCTACTCCTGACTTTTTTAGTAAGTAAAATAAGGCATCTAGGCCAGAAGGAGGCTGCCGTAATGTCTGGGCTGGTCCAAGATATGGAAACTTGGGAACCCCATGCACAGCCACATGCCCCTACATCTTACAGTTACCATTTTTCCAGTTTTGTTTGGCTTTTTTTTTGGTTTGGGTTTGTTTTTTTTTTTCACTGTAGTTAGTTTGAAATTTAAAAAAAATAGGAAGTTTTCTTTTTATCAGCCTCCTCTTAGACAGAAATCTTTCAACAGATAGCAGGACTGAAGAACTTGATTCCGACACACACAATCAGATTGAGCACAGCCAGCTTAGTAAATCACTTCATATTAATAGCATTCTACTGTCTCCTTTCCAGTTGATATTAGCAAAAGGTAAACTCAGCAGCTATATCAGAAAATACTCTATTATACAAATAAGTACCTTCTTTTTACATTACCTTTGCAAAAACTTTCATTGTGTAGCCCAGATATTGCACTCGAGGATCAATAGCTGCATATGTAGCCAGCATTCTTGTGTTATGCTGCGCCTGGGGTGGAGAGGAATCAAACAGGTCTTTGAATTTTTGGTTAATTATAGTATAGTCTGCAGTTCAAGCACAAGTGATGAATAATACAATTGGAGAGCAAAAAACCACAACACTATTCTGTAAAATTCATGCAACGTTTCCTGTACAAACATAACTGAAAGGTATAATCAGAACAGTATTAATGCAGTAACAAGAAGAACCTTTGAAAACACCAGCAAAGAAGTAAATCCATAAGATGACCCACACTGGAAAAAATTCCAAATTGCATCTTCTTCAGAGGTGAAGGTGAGCGCATTACGTAAGAAATTGTGCAGTATCATTGTGTTAGATGTAAGCTGGGATGAGATGTACATGACAGCATAAAAGCCACCGTGAATGTGGCACTAACATCTTTTGAGAGGCATTCACAAAAATGCTTCGTGTGCCATGACACTGCTCTGCCATCAGGTTATACAGCTACTTGCGTTGGGCTGAGGGTGTGGACTGCTGAATTTAAATAATATAGAAAAAAAAAAAAAAAAAAAAAGATGCAGAAAAGCATTTTAATTATGGTTTCAAAATTATTCCCTAATATGACATCTGAATGAGTTACAATTAATTAAAATGTTTTCTTTGAACACAAATCCAAATACAAATGGATGCTTACCAGTGTGTTGTATAAACTGATATCTCCTTCTAAGCCACTTCGTCTGTGTTCAAATTTTACTATAGGCACTTTGGCTGTTGTTATAGGCAAGATGTTTCTCAAACCTGGGGAAGTAACACTTTAGTACATAAAACATTTCCATTAACTACATATACAGTAAAAGTAAACACAAAAAAAATAATAATTTAACACACCTACCTGGATGCTTCTTAAGTACTTTTGCCAAACCTTCTATTATTTCTTTACAGTTTAATTTCTAAGAAAAACAAATATCACAGCTTCAGACGTTAAAACATGGATCCTATCCCAACAAGCACATTTACTATCAAATATGTATTTCATAGAGGAAAAAAAAAAAAATCTATGTACAAAAAGAAGTAAGCAATAAGTCACACTAATTTATGTGAACTGGTGATATGTATTCTCTATGTGGACAGCTACAATACACTAAATGTGTGTCTATGGGACATTAAAAGTAAAATTAGCTCTACCTTGCTTCAGTTGTGCAGAGTGCAACAAATCAATCTACTACTAGCAAAATCCTACCTTTTCTGCATACAGAAACCTTAAACAAATTAAAATACCTTAAAGAATTCTTGGATTTAAAATAGTAAATTTTATCAATTTCAAAACTCTTACCTCTGCATTTTCATGGCCTTCCAATGTCATGCAGATATCTAGGTCACTGTCCCGAAATCCAAATCCATTCTTTGAAGATCCAAACAAGCAAAGTCTGGCTTTGTCTGATCAAAAGAGTAGGATCCCGCCCCCGCCCCCCCCACCCAAAAAAAAAATTATTTTACAGTTGAATGGTAAGTGCTTACTATGGCATATTGCTTAATTGAGATGGGTAGGTACCCATAAAAAATGAGCTTTAAGAGAGAACTTAAAATGTCACTTCTAAGACCTGATCTTTGATACAGGAGGAAGCACAATAATTTAAAAATTATTTGCAGAAAGTAAGGCAGGATAAAGCCCGTGCAATTTTTATCAGTGAGGTATGTTACAGAGTTAGTTATATCCATTAAATGTATCTCTAAATGTCATGCAATGTTTTGTGGTATGTGACTGCATTTCCCTGTTTTAAATAAATCAATACACTCTGCAAACCCAGACACCAGTACAGCTTTACCCCACAGATGAGACAGGGCTACTCTTAAGGCAGTCAAACCAATATTTCTGGTTCCACTCATACTTTATCTAGGTTGAATATTTTTCCTGTGACTAGATAAATTTGGTCAATCAGTAAGTTTCTGTAACCATAACATACTGTTCAAAAAGATACAAGCAATAAGATTAATATACTTTATGGAACATTCTTTCCCAATTATTTTGTTTACATTTTTGTTTGAAACACACTTTGTAACGCATTTTCATTCTTGTAAAGGAAAGCAAAATTATGTAACAGAGGAAGCAATTTCTTCCTAATTGAAGATAATACATTTATCTGTTCAACTGAAATCAATGCTAGGAAAATGTATTTAACACCTATTCACACGTTTTTCCTAACCTTTAATAGATTTGGAAATGTTAAGTCTTTCAAGATACTGTAACAGCTATTGCCAGTAAGTGAAGGGCAGAGTCAGTGGATGGAAGTGCAATTCACAGTTCCTTGATCACAGGCCAGCTACAGCAGAACGGATGGCCTTTTGTGTAAAGCAATGGACTGGAATTCAGGAGACCTGGGTTTGGGACCTTGCTCTACCACTGCTTTACAACATCTCCGAAAAAAAAAAAAATCACTTTGCATCTCTGTGCCTCGACTTCCATCACTGTAATAAGATACTATTGCCTATTTTATAAAGGGGATGTGAAGATAACAAATCCATTAAGATTTCCAAGATACTTAAAGGCTGGTGACTAGGCAACAAGAGTACTTGGCCCATGACCCAGGTAACACTAAGCCCAACTGGCCAGGGCCCATTCAAACTTTCTTTTTGTCCTGATTGCAATAGTCCTGTGTCTGCATTATTACTCTTGCAGCTCTTCCTCCACTCCAGGGACATTTCCATGCAATAGCATTGAGGGATGGTCACTTTAGAAGTCTGCAAGATAGCTTTACATACTGAGGGAAAATAGATGCCACTGCTTTAAACAAGGAAAATGAGCAATAATGAGACAAATTACATCTTCATGCTCTGGACAACATGAATGAAGAAAGCATTAAGCATTATCAAGAATCACTACCTACTGTTACATACCATTATACTCTTTTCGAATAAATCTTTCCAAACTTGCTAGAATTTGTTCTCTGTTTTGTTGCTCAGATAAAGGAGGGGATAATTCATCTAAGTAAAAACAAGTTAAAACACAGTCAGATGTGACATTCAGCTACCTCAAAAATCCTTTTCAGCTAATGAAAAGTACTGGATACCTTTTTTCTGTTACATTTACTTTCCTTGAATATGAGTTAAAATGTTTTTCTTTTTTATTATTATCATTGGAGTTGTTAGGATTTTATTTCAGATGTCTCACTTTTCTACAATTATTCAAACACAGAGCAGCTTGGTGGACACCTGTCGCCCAGCCAAGGTTGACCCACCACAGCATCCAAAAGGGGCTTTTTTCCAAAAGAAGCCATAGAATTTGACAAACACAAAAACTACCTTTGCTCAGAGCCTAATTTCTGGGAACACTAGTAACTTTTTACAAACCCAGAGAAAAATCATGTATAGTATTAGTTTCTCAAAACTGTTATAAGAATTTGATTATCACAACCATGAGTGACACGAAAATCAAAATATAGGTCAATTTGTAGCCTAGGGTACCTGGAACAGTTTCTTTCCATTGAATTTACTGGAGTAAGTCATTTAACCCTAAAGTTTTTTGAATTCCACTGTGAACTGTAATCTGGAAAAAAATAAACACTTTTCACTTACCAAAGCATCTTTTGCACACTATATCAAGTATTTCCCGAAATCTGTCTGTCATTGGTGGTAGTGGTTTTAGATCAATTTTCTTGAAATCCTCTGGGCAGTCATTTTTGGAATGTCCATCCCGTTTGCAGATGCTGCATACTATAGTTGGTGGCTTTTGGAGAAAGAAATAAAAATTTAAAAAAAAAAAAAAAAAAAAAAGGTGCACAAATATGATTTTACTTCTAAGATAGCTCAACAGACCTAACATTTCCACGTAAGTCAAACAACCAAGAACATTCAACATCTGAACAGCAACAGAGTCTCTACAAAGAACAGAAGAACACCATTCAACAGGCTGCATTTAGTTCTCACAGTGCATAAGAGCACCTGGAAATTCTACAAGAAAGTCTGAGAGGAAGAGGGGAAAAGAAAACCCACTTTTGTGGGAATCAGAAAGCTTTGCATTAGATCAGAGCAACAGACCGTCTTGTCCAAATGGCATACGCATTCGGCGTTTTCCAGTCCTGAATAACGGGTACTCTAAAAAGGCTACAGGTACCATTCGTAACAGAGTCTGAAACAACCACTGGGAGAATCTCGTCATCCATCCACCCTCAGTTTTAGTGATTTAAAAGTAATAGCCCACTAATCCATGACCAGCACTGCTTAAATACATAGCTCACCTTTCCTGAAGTCAAAATAAACTTATCAAACACATAATGCATTTCTTCGGTAGAGAGTCTGCCTTCATCTTTGAGATCGTGAGCTTCCACCATTGCTTTGCAATTGGGCGAGGTAGCTGGTGTGCCAGTGCACTTATTCTTCTGAGAAGACTCTGTTACCAAATTCTGTCTACTTTCAGCATCAGCAAATTCACTACTAGAATTTGTGTCATAGGGCTGATGTTCACTGCAGTTACAACTGTGGCTTAGCTCACCTTCAGTTATACAAACTACAGTTTCTAAATCATCCCTTTCTTTAAGTGATTTTTGTTTTAATTCACAGCATTCATTAGAAATAAGGGATAAAGCTTCTTCTCTGTCTTCATCATAACTAGAGTCCAATGTTGAAAGTAGCAAAGAGTCTATGTTCTTGGAAGTACATCTTTTGGCTACAGCTTGTACCACTTCATTACATTCAAGTTCATTCTCTGGTATGTTACATCCACTTCCTATATTTTGTTTATCTACAACTTTTTCCCCTTGTGGAAGGCAACAGTTGGCTACAGGCTCTTCAGATCTCGTGGATTTCTTATTATTTATTTTCCCTCTTTCTTTTTTCTTGGTATCTGGCTTGGATTTAATCCCATCTTTACTTTGTGGACATGCAAAATATTTATATGCTGTCCTAAATCGCTCCAGGATGTACTCAAATACCATCTGGCTGTTTAGACTCCGTGCAACATTCCTCTTTAGTGCAAAAGGATCTAGGAAGAAAAATAGATAATTAGTAATCTTTACTTTCTACATTTCACGAAAGCAGCTGAAATACCTAAGTTACGATACGGCAGTTAAAAAGAGATTCTTATAATATAATTGGCAATTGTATTTGGATATACTTAGAGAACACAGGGCCCACAATGTTTTTTGGACTTCTTCCATACAAAACAACACACATGTGTCCATGAATGGTTGGCTATCATAAACCATTCTAAATAGTGTTATTTAAAAAGAAAACCACTGGTATATTGTACCAATATATTACGGTCAGTTTCTAAATTAGAAATGAAAATAAACATACAAAGGCAAAATACATGTAGGCCTGCCTGAACTTTTTTCCTTCACTGAAAAAGGATTTGCATTTCCCTTAAGAAATTAATTTCTCTAAGAGTAACATTAAGGTTATAAGTATTATATGAACCAATCTCACCAGGTTTCATTCTTAGTCCTTCCTAGCAATTTCTAGATCAAATATGTTTTCCAAGTAAAAAGAGCACTTGCATAGTTTCTATAAGTTTGCCTGGGAAGATAGTATCAAACTGAGATTCTGTTACTTCATCATTTCAGTTACAAACTTAACATTTAAAAAAACCAAAGCAAAAATTAAAAACCAAACCAAAACAAAACATAAGCCAAACAAAAATGACACAAGATGACCAACAATAGCAGATATCAGAACCAAAATGCAATCTGCTTTTTGAAATTAATTCCTGTTTCTTCCTCAATAATTTGTCCTTTCATCTTACAGGTTTTAGTTTCCCACATGCTGAATAAACACTAGTTTTAAAACTCTCTAGATACAAGTGATTGAAGAAAAGAATTGAGAGAGGAAATTGAAGCCACAGGAGTGATCTCAAGGCCCACTCAACATGTGCCTCAACAACTCATTGCTTGTTTTTCTCCTTTTACTTTTCCTTCTTGCACCTGATTTGTCCTTCAATATACATTTAGTAACTCGTTCTCTGTCTTTATGATTCTCTCAGACCTATTTCTTGTTGTTCTCTCCATCACCTCATGTCTGTTACAGAAAAGTTACTTCATCAACATCTCTAGAAACTGTCCAAAATTGATTATTTATGCTTTTATAAAAATATCACTTGAAATGGTTTCTTAATGTTCCTCAAATACCCAATTTCTCTATTCTTAAGGCCAATTCAGAAAGCCATGCATTGCACTGGGACTCTCCATGTTACATCTTCTTTACACATTTTTCTGAGTTGAGAAACAGAAATAAATATGTCTTCCAGTTATAAAGAAGTAATAGACAAAATAATTTTCTTTCTTTCTCTCCCCAACATATATAACTCAGGGTAGATATTATCATCAAATTCATATGGTCTCATTCCCTGAAAAAAGCACCTCCCTTAGCAGGATATTCAGAGCCTGAAGCATTAGCCTATGACATGACATTGAGTTTCACAGTATGGAAAAACTACCAACAGAGAAAGGGACAAAGGAGGGTGCTGGGGGGGCGTGTGGGGTCTTGTGTGTGTGTCACTGATGGGTTTGCTCCAGTTCAGTCTGATCAGAGCTAACCTCTATGATCAGTCTGCACTAGAGTCCGAGGAAACAAACTGAAAGCTGATAACACTCAAAATACATTGTGGCTTTTGGAAACGTAGCTAGAGGTGCTAAAAATTCCCAATATAAGGATCATTGAAAAAGAATAAATAATGACATATAGAAAGAATTAAACAGATAGAGATAAGAACATAATGGTAAGAACAGTGAGAGAAATCTACACTGTTTATTTCAAGGACCAGATTTGCAAGAAGTACCAACTGAACAGAAAATTTGTCTTTAAACAGATTAAATAGCTCAAAAAATATACAAAAATGTATTATTTTCTCTTCCAATTATTGATTTAATTTATTGGCCAGACTTCTTGTGACAAACCTGTAATTATTAGGTAAATAAAGATAATAATGCAGGATGACTACAGAACTAGAAAAGGGTATTATCCTACCTTCAATGGCTATTCGCCTTTTAGGCCAGTTTTTATTCTCTCTGGTTAAGAGTTCTTGTACCCGTATGCTGATGACATACTCCTCCAAAGCAAATTCCAGTGTGTAAAACTTCAACAGTTCTAACCACAGTTGCCCCAGTGAAACTTGGTGAGGGGTTTTGAATGCTAAGAGAGACTGAAACACATGGACAAGAATGCTCAACTGCAACAAGGAATTAAAATTCCCATTTTTTTTCCTGGTTCCATTAAATATTAATGTTTAAAGATAAAAAAAAGTGGTGAGAGATAGAATACAGTTTTCAATGAAATAAAGCCATGACTTACATTGCCGTGTTTCTCCTTTGCGTTACTTTGGTTCTCCACTTCTGAGCTTGTTAACTTCTTGCCACCACCCTTTTGCTCAACTTTAGTTTTACCTTCTGCTCCAACTGAGTTTTTTGCTGCACCATTTGTTGGTGGTTTGTACTCCCACCGTATAAACTCCTCTTCTTCTATACCCTTCAGCTGATGGTCATCTGGCCTCTTTGAATCAAAGCCTTCAATCTAACAACAATTAAAGTAGCTCTGAAATAAGACTGGGTATAATATATACAAGCAAAAGTTTTCACCAAAGGTAATACTGACAATTGTGATATTTATCTCCCTCAAGAATAACTGATGTCAGAGAAATAAATTCAGAGAATTGAAGAACAAAATATTTGCCGTTTCTTCAAAATATAGCATGACACAATTGCACAGGCTCTAGCACCTGCATTTAAGTCATCAGAATCATCAGGCATCACCTGTGCGAGGACTAAGTACCAATGCGTTTTATTTATGGATTTCTTAGGCAATCAAATTCTGCACATTTTATGACCTTGCTGAAGACAGAAATAATTTCAATAATTTAACAATAAGGTTACTATGTTACCAAATCACTTACCCAATTGCCCAAATAGGATGGTAAAATACGTGGTTTTCTTTGTTGAAGAAAAAATATCACCATTAAGGCAAAGGAATATGAGGGAATCCCACCTTCAGCCTGACAGTCAATGTGACACAGCTGTAAGAGAATAGATAATGACTTTTCTGATGTAACATCAACATTTTAATTTAAAATGTATTATAAAAGGACAAATACTAAAGAAATGTAAGATACCTACTACAGTGAAACATAAAATCTTTTATCTCAGAAACTGTGGTTGTCATGCCATGCCACATATAAACAAAATGCAAATTATAGTAATTCATACAGTGCCTCAAGTTACATTATTTTGGTACATTATTCTCTTCAGTTTCATCACATTTTGTGATTGGGCACTATGTTCCTATCTAGAATGTCAGTCAAGTATCAGGTATTTGTTATTGTGTGATCTCTCATGTATGGACATGGGCATTCTATGCATCTGGCTGTAATCTGATACTGATCTCTTCCATGGGAACACAAGAGAGATGTAATAAATGTGTTAGACTTTTAACAGTTCTCTGTAGTTTCTGCTACTGCTACTTGTATGTTGTAAAAAAGGAATTTTTGTAAAAACACCTTGCTAAATCAAACAACAATAATAATGCCATGCAACTGATTCTTCAAATAAAGCCAAGACAGTAAGTCAAGTATGGCTTGGCGGCAATTTCAGGAATGAATTACAAAACGTTGAATGCTGGCTGTGAACATTATAACTTGGTTCCTGTGATCACTGTTCACATCTGTAAAAAGTACAGCAGGATGCGATGACAGACCCTTTTTCGAGCAAGGTAACTTTTTTCAGTGTGACCTCAATAGCAGAAAGTTTGCAAGACCCGATCACTCTGTTGAGCTGGTTTTCAAGAATCAATTAACTAGTTTTAAGGAACTAGCATAATAGCTTGCTAACAGAACAGTGGAAGCTTCATATATATATTTACAGTTTCACACCAAAATCTTCAGTCTCATTCTGGCCTGTTAATGTAAGAGGTGAACTAGTGGCATGAAGTTCTTGTCTATGGCCATACTCATGGTATATTATACATTATATTGTATACAGTACTTAAAAAGAGGAAATAAACATATTCAATTATCCTCAATATTTGTAAACTTACTCTAGCCCAGTAGCGGAAAGCCAAAACCAAGGGAATAAGGACAGGCTCCAGTTTACCAAGTGCAGCCAGCAGATCAGTTGTAAGGCAAGCCACATCATTTCTAGCACTTACTTTACATGTCAAACCACTGTAATTACAAATGTAAAACAGGTAAGAGTTATCACCTTGTGTATATAGATAATGCTTGGGGCAGGGGGGAGGTGAGGCATCATATCCACCACAATAAAAACATGAATCAGTGTCTCCCTATGTAAGAACTCTAACTTTTTAAACAAAAGTTACAGAATACAATCACATTTGCTTTACTATTAATTCATCAGTTGGTTCTAGAACTTACAGAAGTTCATTACAGCTAAAAATATAAAACTGCATTAAGAATTTGCTCTAGGTTCTGCCATTACTTAATTATGCAATCTTACAGAAATCAAATTCCACATACCAAATAAGTAAATAAATACTCCAGGCCTGATGCATATTAAGAGGTGGTAATTCCACAAAATAGCTTCTCTAAAAATTTTTTGTTTGCTTCTCAGAATAATTATTTCTAGTCTCTTCATACTTACAAGGCTTTTGCATAGTCTACAAATACAGGAAAAGATACGCCCACCTTGTTGCATTTACTTCCCCAGAGTTTCAATCACGTACCTCTAGCCAGTCAAAACAACATGGACATCATACAGCAATCATGTTTCACTTTGGAGGTTGCTACTTCTTAGGAATTTACTGAAATTGTCAGATGATATGTCTTTTTTGGCAATGTGTATCTTATAAAATGTTTTTAAAACCTTGGATTAAATTGCTGGCAGAAATTTTAAGTATCAACTGAAAACCATTCCACTATTCTCCTATTCAACTAGAAGTAGAACTGTCATTTTCAGACTCCTACAACTAATTGAGCACAAAACCAAAGTTAAGCTTTCTTTCTAGATTGTATTTTTGTGTATGAGCAATTTCCCTTTAGTATGAATGTTAGCTAAATGTTACAGTAACACTTCTTGCCGGAAGTGCAGGCAAGCAGCTGCTATGAACAAGTATAGTAGAAATTGGTATCTCATTATAAATCCTTTTCAATTACATGTACCTTTTAACATCTTTGCAAAAGACAACTGGAACTTTGGCATGGAAATCTGACTCCACATCTGAGTAGACAGCTAAGCAAGGAGAAAAAAAACATTATTTTTTTAAGTCTTTTACAGTTTTCCCAATTGTGTCTTTAAAACTATTACATTTATACCACACATTTACAGAACAAGTCAAATTAAGTGCTGTGTAGCTAACCAGTAAGCAGTATTTTCCGATTACTTTTGATCATTACCACGAGTATTACAGAGACAGCAGGAAAAATTAAAAAGAAAAACCCTTGTCAGGCAACTGGACTGGTATATCTTCTAGGACCTTTTTGTCTTTACAACATTTGAAAGACATAAGGTTCAATCTCTGACAAACCATCAGGATAGTTTGAGAAGCACTCACAGAGCTGATCAGTCAAAACTTCCTGAAGGATCAAAAATGTAATGCTCCTTGTGTCATTTGGTTCAAGATGTGTGGACTACATGGCTGGATGACTTCCTGACAGAACAAGGAGGCTACGAGTTTCAGAAGTCTTGTAGTTCTCACTGATGTTTGCATGCAAGTGGAAAGTAGCTTTTGAGTTTATTGCTTAGAATTTCTCCTAAAAAGTTAATTATTTTTTGACCTGGCATCTTAACACTATTACCATAAATTCTGGCAATCTGAGCTGGACTACCTGGGCGGCCATTCTCCTGCTGCAGGTTTTCATCTCTCACTTACACAAGCACTGATATTCATAAAAATCCCATTCATGAAAACAGCTCAGACACAAAGATGAATTAGTTTTCAACCAAAGTAAGTTTACAGGAAAATTAATCATAAAAAGCAACTGAAGTTGGAATGTTAATTAATTATAAATGAGATGCAACTAAAACTCACTGCTGTTCTTCAAGATATCAAGCACCTGTATCAGAACATCTGGTTGACTCATCTAAAACAACAAAATTAGAGCAGGTTACATTATTCAGACTAACTTATTTTACTTTACACTTTGTTTAAGACTACTGAGGTTGCACAACTAGTAACACTACGTTGTTTCACAAAAGTGAAATCATGTGTCAGTATTAATGAAAAAGCTAGCATGTCCACACCATGAAAACGGGTACTAGTAAACATATTAGCCAGCTTTCTTTTAGTCTACAGCTTTTTTAGTTAATACTTCTGTATTAACAGACTCCGTAAATTTAAAACAAAATAGTTGCCACATATTCAACAATTTCAATGTCAACATATCACACTAGAAATCCACAACAGTAAAGAATTTAATGTCTGTACTTTCCCAAGGGTTTTTAAAGGTTATAATTTCTAAATGTGTTTTATTTCACCCCAGAAATCAACTTAAGTGATGTTTCAAAGATAAGCTGTAAACAGTTCAAAGAAAAGCTAAAAATCAGCACCACCTTTGAGCCTTTGTGGAAAAGTGACATGGTACACTCCACGTGCAACCGTTTGAACATGGGCTCAGTTTTGCTTTCTAACTGCAGTATCATTCCCAAATGCTACATGTATGTACCCAAAACAGGTATCCTGAATTCCACTGCAACATATACAGTCAAAAAAAAGTGTAAATTCAGCAGTTGTGCCTCTAACAAGCTGCTAATATCACGTTCTAAATATGAACCAACAACTTCAATGTTTAAAGGCAAGTTATACTGCTCTGCACAAATTCTGCACCACAGTAATCTGTAAACAGTGACATCTACTTGCAAGTGACTAAAATATAAAAGGAAAACTGTCACTTTTACCCCCACCTTTGAAAGGAGGGGGGGAAATGAAGACCTACAAGATTTTACTGTCTGAATCACAAGCACATACAAACAAACTTATCCTGAGACAACTATTTTCATACTGTTTCAATGCTGACTCAAAAAATAATTAAAAAAAAGGCTAGCTTAAGATTGTCCAAAAATACAGAATTCAAGTTATCTAATAAGCAATGAAAACTTTATCCACTTGATTCATAGCACACCTGAGACCAAATCAAGATTATATGCTTTGTTCTACTCTAACACCATATGCTCCAACAGAAGAGGAAGGCAATGGAGTAGAAATAAATGTTGATGGCCTTGATTAAAAAAACAATCTTAGTTAATACAAGATAATATCTACGCACCTTAGGGGGGAATTTGATATCAATGTTAACATCGCTGGTCTTAAAAGCAAATCTTGTTAAACAGGAGCCATACATCCTCAGTGAACAGTCTGGAAGAGAAAGAAACATAATTACTTAACAGCTAGTAAATAAATTATTATTTAATGGATGACGCATACCTTGCTTTAGATACTGTACCTCCCAAGTGGTACTCCCAGATTAAACAATATTGAACCACTTTCTCACTCCTGTGAAGGTTAGTCACTTCCATAACACAGCATCACAGGAAAATGGGTAATTCAAACAGTGTAATTACCATATGTCCAAAATTTTTCAAGCTGTTTTAAAGTATAAAGATTAATTAATTTTTAAATTAAATGTAATTTTAAAATAAAATAAATTTTAAGTTAATGAAAATATTTTTAAATATTAATTTTAAATTATAAAGATTTAAAGTATAAAGATTAAATTCTCCAAGGATTGAGAGTCCACAACCTCTCTATGCAAAATGTGCCAATGGTCAACCAGTCTCACAGTGAAGAGGGTTTTTTTTGTATTTTTTCTTAGTGCCTTTATTTGTGTTCTGACCAAACTGTCTCAAACAGAACCACAACAAAGTAACTCTTAGAAGAAAAAATAAATCTTACATATACACAGCTTCAAACAAACCTTTCTCTGTTTTTCACTACTTAGAAACATTTTCCCTCTCAAAAGGAATTTCTGTATGATAAATAATAATAATGATAATACATTGTAACTACTTCCAATAGCTTTTCATAGTAGTAAGAGTTTTTGCACAGTTCTAATGTGAGCTCAATAGAAAATCATGCCAGAACAACTCATGTTTTCTACATTGTACATAAATTGTTTTTTTCCTAATTTACAACTTAGGAAATCATATTCACTAAAACACAGTGGGCTTTGAAAAGAGGCATAACAAATTGTCATTTACTACTACAGACTCCCCCTCCAATACAACTACACCTCCACATCAGCTCATCAGTCCAAACAAGTCAGCCAGACGAGTAACGCTAACAGTCATCTTCATGAGTATTTATGTAAAAGTAGTAATTGCCTTTGCTTTGTCTTATGCTAATGTACTATCACTGGAAAACTCAATAGCATGTCAGAACAGAAGTTTGCACAAGGAGCCACATACAGCAACACAATAGAGCACACAGATTAGCAAACCTCCACCCTACAAGCCCCTGCTTTATTCAGCACCTTATGTTTAAGCATATATTTAATATAGCTCCTAAAACTAAAGCTGATTACCCTGCAGAAAAAAAAAAAAAAAAAAAAAAAAAAATCTTTCTTACTACTGTATTTTTATAGAGCAAAGGGAAGGTATTTTTAAAATAAAACAACAGGATGGAATATCCATCCAGTTTCAATGTAGATGAAACAAAGAGTTTGAAGGCTGATATTTTGTCAGTGAGATTAACGCTTTCTGTTCAGATTCACTGAAAAACAAACCATTGTTAACATAATGTCAACATTCCTGTACCTCCAAAAACCAGGTCTCAAACTCCCAATGTTTTAACTATAGGAGATAATGGGAAATCAATGCAAAGAAGCAAATGTCTAAGATTTTTTTGTTGTTATACTATTTATATTATTTTCCAACAGTTGTATAAGCGGATTTTAATGTTTAACATATCCTAATGAAATAACAAACTGTACTTCTGAAGAGGGAGGAGGGATAAGACTACCATTCAGCTTTTATCAGACAATTTTGGCGAACTTTATTAATGTACTGAATGTTATCAACCCACTGAAGCAAAAAAATGGGACCAAGCATTTAACCTACTCAGACTTTTTTTTTTTGGTAAATTATTCTTCTTTTTAATCAACATAAAGCACTCAATGAAAAAAAATACAGATGAGGTATGATATTTATATGCGGTTAAGTAATTGCAATATTTTGACCCATTTAAGACAATTCCAGAGACTTTGGAAGATATAGTTGATCTCATAGTTTGCCTCTACTCATTTTATGACCCATTAACCATAAATATACATAAGAAGAAATACCTGTTAAACAATAACCCTTGTTGATTTAAATTACTTGTTTTAATGAACAGTTACTGATTAGTACCTGCAGATATTTCAGATCACAATTAAGTACTGAAAATGTCCCATATGCTTACCAAAATCACTCATAGCTGAGCTCTAATTTTTTTTTTCCTAAAACAGTGCTTTACAAAAAAAATTGTCTTATGCAACTTTTATCTGCCCTGAAAGATGTTATAAACAAATGAAGGACTGGCAGGGGAAAAATACATTTTAAACTCCTTCTCATTTTCCCCTCATGCTACATTTATATTAGTTTAATTAAGTGCACTTGGAAAAAAAAAACCTCTACTGTAACAGCCACAGATATTCAGTAATGCTAAGTAAGATATAGGTGGAAAGGTTTGTAGGATCAGAGCCTGATGGAGATGATCAGTGGCTGAGGATTTAAACACAACCAGGAATGAAGTATTTTGTGCACTGGAAATTTCCAATGTCATCAGAAATCATCACTTTGAAGGAGACCAATAGCTTCTATAAACTCATACTAGAAAGCAGCAAAAATAAGCACAATCATATTTTCCTTTTTTTTCTAGGTTTGTTAGCTCCTTTTAAATCAACTGCTAGTCTGAATTGAAATGCCCATCTATATTAATACTATATAATACAAAAATAATTATGCATTAATATGCATAATTTACCACTACCAAATGCATTAACTTACCACTAATGAAGGTATCAAAATCTGTATAAAAATAAAGAAAATTAAACATTTTCACCTAAAGAAAATGGAGAATACTATGAATACCTGGTAAAGGCTGTTGAATAATTTTCTCCATCTCGTTTACAATTTCTTGACGAATTCTGAAGTCATCATCTGATATGCCTTGTTCATTTGCTGCCTCAATGAGTGTAAAACTCAGAGCAGCCAACTGTGCAGAAGAGGGGGGTGGGAGGGCACGCAGCTCATTTTCTTCTTGTTTTTCCTGAATAATTTTTGGATGATAAAAGTAAAAACTGGTATTTTAAGAGAAAAAGGTTATCTCATACTGCATGATAGTCGAACATACTGTTTGCTGTTTGTATTCCTCTATTTACATGGTGTCCTGACCAAACACTTTCAAAGGTAGGAACTCTGCCCGGCCTAACTGGCAAATGTCATTTAGTGTGGCTCACAGAAATGACAGTAAGATGCTCAGTGTTTAAAAGAGAGCATGTTGTTTCACAGCTGGCAACTGAGGAGGAAATCTGCTGTGTTACATTCCTGAGCCACATTTTCTGACAGTTCTGAAACAGAATTCATCCAAGGAAATTAAAAGCTGTAATTGTTCCTACATAATAAATGTAACTGAGCTGAGAAAGTTTTTCTAGAGTCACACAGATTTTTTTCAGAGTGGATTGTACTTGAAGGAAAGATATCTAAGGCAGAAAGTATTTCTAACTCCAAGAAATTTTGTTAACTAGGGTCTCATTGCTGCCTACACAGCTGGTGCTAGAAAATGCTATTTTTAGTGCATCAAATTACAATCAATTTCAGTATGTCAGATACATCAAGTCATTTGGGAGTAAATACAACAATCACTTGTTTCACAAATTCATCAATTAAATGAAATACGTGACAAACAACAGAAACAAATAATAACCAGAAAATAATTATTTACTAAGAAAACACCAGCCAGTATGAAAGTATTAGTTCTAGGCTGCACCTCTCAACTTTTCTGTTCCTATTTGAACAAATTTAGCGTAAGAAAGAATATGCACATTTTTAATGGGCTGTATTTTTTTTAATGTCACTGCTTTAGGGTCTTTCTTAAGTGGGGAAGCCACAGCTGCTGATAAGCTTATTTGATAGTCATGTATCTCATAGATAGAGCTGTAAATCGGTGTATTTTATGAAGTACCATTTAGATAGTTATATATCACTTACCACTGTAACGTGACACACAACACAAAGCTATCTGAAGACAAGTGTTAAAACCAGAAACTGCTCCCTATCCTCTAGCATTTCCATTCAGTGGTAAAGAAACCTCATTCCTCAATTCTTATCTCCCTGCCCAGATGAAAAGCATGGTATGAAAGTGTTTCCCAATCAAATGCGGGGCTGGTTTGTTGTCTTTTTTTCTTTGGTTTTGGGTGTTTTTTTGTTTGTGGTTTTTTTTGTTTGTTTGTTTGGGGGTTTCTTGGTGGGTTTTTTTTTTTTGTTTTTTGTTTTTTCATGATGCAATTTAGCAGACAGCAAGAGAACCAGAATCCTTTACAAATAATAACACAAAAATGTTACTTTCTGAGATGTAATGGATTTACGGCATTCAGAGTTTTCCAGGTGCTGGTTTGCATATATGATAGAATTAGAACATTAATTACAAACAGAAGTATGGTAAGAAATACATGGAATAGAAGTAATTGGCTGAATTTTGGGGAATAGTTGTAGGAAGAGTAATTTTAACCATCTGAATCACAAAACCATACATACTTGGAGATGTGTATCTCTTCATCAGCATTTACAAAAATGGCTTGGCAAGAAAATATGTGCACCTTTTACTGCATTTCATGCATGTAACAGTTCTTTAAAGAAAAGAAAAAAGTAAAACCATACTATCTGATAAGGAAACTGTTTTTCTCTTTCAAAGCCTCAGAACTGTGTTTCATATTAAACACGTACATAAACCCAGGGAAGATGGTGAGTGAGACAGGAACTGAATTCCTTCCTACTTCAACTTTTTTTTCAGTCTAGACATACTATCTACTCCACTTACCTGTCACAGAAAGGATGTAGATGAAAACTTCACAAGTCAGACAAAAGAATAAAAAAGAAGGGGGAAAAAAAAAAAAAAAAAAAAAAAAAAAACCAAAAACACAAACAACATCCCCATCCCCAACCCCACCTTCAGTCCTTGGAGGTCTTGCTACAATTATATTATATTTGGAAGAAACTAAGTATGTTTCTCACCTAAGTTACCTTCCATTCTGCTACTAAAAGTATGATGAACTGCCCACTACTCAGAGACACTAATTCAGAAGTAATGACCAAAAATGCTCTTTCTTCTCTGCCTGGACAGATCATCAAGCCCTTCCTCTCATACAGAAAACACGCATCTGAAATTTGTGGATCTCTGCTCAGCACACAAACTTTCACCTAAATGAAGATAATCAAAGAAAACATACCACATAACAGAAACATATTTAAAAAGAATAAAACAAAAAATCAGTCAAAATTTTATTTGTTAACTTACCATTATATTTTTCTTATGACGTTTTTCTTTAATATGCTTGTGAGCTCCCTGGATATTTTCAATGTGAACTAGGCAGAGCTTGCATAGATACTGACAGTTGGTGTATTCTGGGGAGCGCTGAGGAAAAATGGCCATAGATTAAAAGAAAATGTTTTTGCCAATAGTGTCTGAAAAACTCAGTTCTCTGAATAATAAAACGTATTTAACAATTATGTAACACTTGTAATGTCAAGGTGCTTTGCAAATATTAAGTAATCTTGAAAAAACACAGTGGAAATATATTTTTACCTGTATGACAAATGGGGAAAGTGAGGAAAGGAAGTGTGATGACTTGAATATTACACTTTTCAGTAAATTTTAGTGAGGCAAGAATATGTCTGAAGAGTTTATGCCTCCTAATGCTGACCTAAGGGCCAGTAAGCTATTCCCTTGTCAGTTCAAGCTTTTAATAACTATGGATTTATTAAATCTCCGCATCTATCCTCCTTTCTCTGATGAGAAAATGGGAAGTACTCATCATATTATCTACTATACATGTTATGACAGATGGTGTTGTTGTTTGGCTAGCATACGCACAGCGTCTTCTGCAAGTACTGCATTTTTTGTTCTACTAAAAAGGGTGTGGCTGGCCAACAAGGAGGAAGATCACCAGTTTCTGACTATACTCTGGATAAGGTGGGATCCTCTGACAAGGGGTAAGATTATTCCATTTTGATGGATAACTTGGGATGCTCAGAATTGGAGAAACATGCAGAACAAGCAACTTTTTTTTTTTACAGACAGACCAGATGAGATAAAGTACACAAATGAAGAGGTGTCACCTGGGGGACCCCCTGAGAGTCTGCAAGCAGCAGCTAAGCCTCAGGAGATGATGGGTGGGCAGAGGAACATCACTGTTTTCCAAGGGTCCAAGAGGGGATACTGTGGAGTTTATTCAACCAGGAAACCACAGAGAACTACTAAACTAAAAGGGAGAAAGGAACAACTCTGCCAAAATGAGGGGTTGTCTGCAAATATTCCACTTTAATCTGTCTCGTCCTGCAGTTGTATTTTCTTGCTCTAATACAGCCACACAGACTGGAAACTTTTTGATACGCTCACAGCAAAGACAAAAGGGCCCCAAGACAAAGCCTTAGTTTTCCTCCAGACCTGTTAGCATTTTTCCAATAACTGCTATCAGTTATAACTGGGAGAGAAAAAACCCTACCTAACATTTTCATCCTAATTCTAATACATCTATATTAACTAAAACTGAAAGTATACTGAAAACACCAGATGTTTAAACAGTGACATAACAATGAATGAACAGAGAACACCATTTTAAGACACTAAGGTGGACTGTAGATCAGTTAAACAAATTTGACTTACACGGAAACCTAAAAGACTGCTAAATTTGGGCAACTTTTTCCACTTACTGAGTCTGATCTTTTGCATTTGGGGAAGACAAAAAAAAAAAAAGTCTGATACCCTCCAAATGCAGGGTAAATATCACTTTAATTTAACATTGCCATTATGCTTTTATCACTAATTCTCTTCATCCTTATTTCCTATGAGACATGTACCTAAAGAAGATGGAATCAAACATTCATTTGGAAAACAACTTATAGACAGTTACACTTGGCTAGCTTGGAAGATTCAAGTATTCAAAACCTGATGACTGAATTAGATCAAAAATATTTTACCACTCTTCTAAAACTGAATACCAGCAATAATAATGTATTTTAAAATTGGGAATTTCTTTACAATACAGATATGCAGTATTATGTCAACAGATGTTGCCAGAAAGGTTGAGTCATGTAAAGCCTTTTATTTTGCCTTTATTTTAAAGTCTTTTTTAATCATCTAGTTGCGCTTAACACCAATGAAAAGAGCAAGAACTCGAAATAGCAAGACAAAAAAAGCTACAGACTAGTACATGAGTAAGATAGATGAATCCAAACAAGCCAGGCCTCATGAAATTTGTGCTTGGATATTCAGGAAGCTAATCCATCTCAGAGCCAGTTGTATTTTAAAGAACACACAGAGAATGGGAAGGTTCCAGATCGCTAGTAAAGAGAAACTTCAGAATATCTTTAAAAGACTAAAGAGGATGATGCAAGGATTTAGTGAGCAGTCAGAATAAGCACCCAGAAAAATACTGTAATAAATTGTTATTAATAAGCAAATAAAAAATAGGTCATAGGTGACAAACTGATATGCTATAAACAAATAACACTAAGCCAATTTTAGGGTTGCTTTTTTGAAGATAAAAATCACAAGGCTTGAAGCAGCAGCAGCAGATGTTGCATCTTGAATTTTACTAAGGTTTTGTCACTTGCTGAGTATCAGTCTCAAAAGGAGACCATAAATACTATCTAAAGAACAGTAAGGTGGAAGCAAAACTGTTCACAAAACTGTCCTCAGAGCTCACATACCCAGACCAGTTTAAATGCAGGTGCCGAGTATTTTTCAACAGGGGTCCTTCTGGGGTCTGAAACATTTCTATTTTTGTTGAAGACTTAGAAAATGCAAAAGAGGGTATGCTGTCTACAAATGCAAAAGATACAAAGTTGGGAGAGATTACAGAAGACATAAGGTGATAAAAATAATATAAAAGTAAAGTATCATTCCTCCTTAGTTATTATCAACTGCAAAAAATACAGGGCTGGGTACACCTGATTTGGCATTTCTTAAGAAAAGGACATGGGGATTATTGCTGGTCAGACTACAAGCCAACATCCTATTGATGCTAAAAAAGCAGATATCCTAAACACAGATGCTGTATTTCAGACAGATGAAGTCAGCTTTACTCTTTGTATGCAAGACCTCAGTTTAAATTGCGCGTCCAACTTTGGATACCAGTTACATGGTGGATGCCTACAGAAAATCAACAAGAATGAAGCAGTAACTAAAAACCCCCTAGAACCGAAGAATAAAGAGTAAGTATAAAGAAGATAAGACTGCAGGAATGGTAATGATCTTCAAATGTGTAGAAAGATGCTGAAACAAAGTAATAAACTTATGTTTATTTTCCTAGGACAACGTATGAGGGATTAAAATGCTGCAAGTGACACTTACGTTAGACACTAAGAAAAACTTCCGGGTTACCTATACTGACTTTGAAATTTGTTTCAATGGAAATAATGTTAAGAACAGTTTAGATGGACATTTTTAAGGAATCATCTTCAATACAGGTGACTCGAACTGGTGGAAAGCCAATATACTGAAGACAGCACAAGGTTCCTTTCAATCCTGTATTCTGAAGTCTCCAGGTAACCAGACTTTCTAGAAAATCTTAGGTTCATGAAACTGTAAACCTTTAGGTCTGTAAAATTAACTGTTCTACAAAGGCTACATATGCCACAAAAGGAACACTAGGTTCTCAATCCACATGATTTGCCATGATGAATGACTAGTCAACTACTAGGCATAATATCTTAGATCACTAAAGTGATTCTTTATAAAGAAGAAACAAACAGAGGCAACAGGCTTTAGTATAAATAACACCCAACCAGAAATACGGTGATGATAATGAAAGAAGACATCCATTTTCTTTTTTATCTAATAAATAACTCAACCTACTTTTTCAAGTCGGGAGATATAATCTCTTTCCAGACGTTCTTCAGCTTGTTTCAATCCTAGTTGCTGTTCAACTGTCAGATTAGATTCATCAATAACAGTGGTGTTTTCTAAATAATCAGCTTCCAAAGTATGTTCTTTAGTTGATTCAGAATTCTTTATTTTACCTAGAGAAAGAAATAGCTATTTTCTTCAGAGTAACTCAAGGTAAGGAGAAGTGAAAATTAGAGTACAGAGCAGTTAAGAGCATCTCACTAAGGAACCAGACATGAATTACAGCTACATTCCAGTTTTTTTGTCCAGATGCTGGCCCAAATCACCTTAGATGTTAGAATCTTTCCAGTATGTTAACCAGTATTTTGGAGAGACTTCAGAGACTAGTCTGCTAGCAAAAGTGTTATCAAAAAGAGGGGAAAAAAAAAAAGAAAAAAAAAAAGGTAGATTCGTTTTCTGTTTCAGTCATAACTTCACAGTCTCTATTAAGTTCTTCAAGACAATAAAGGGGGTTTTTTGTTATGTAGAACAGAGTATGCAAGATCCTGATGCTCTATCTACTACAACAGAAATAAGAAATACTAGGTTTAAAATTTTTTTACACAACATATTTTGTTAATGAAACAGTCATAGAACTGCCTTAAAGACATTCACCCAAACGACCTTACAGAGCCAGTCACCACGCATTTCAGCCTCACAATTTAGAAGGCTGCTAGTGTTACATCTGAACACCCTGCAGACACCTTGCCGCCCACGGCCAGCAACCACAGCGCCCTGGAACGCTGCTACTCACAAACACACAGGTCGGTTCTGAAAGGCCAGTTCCTCCAGATGCCTATGAATTGTTCATAGTCCACTAATCTGTACAAACGTCTACACCTTAAATTAATACAGTAGTTTTTACATCAGCAACAGTGAGGGCTATCTGTGTTTTGTTTTGTTTTTCTTTCCTTTCAGATGAGATCTGTGCCCCCAGACTAGCTAGGAATCAAAACTGAGCAAGTTTTCAAGTCCTGGTTTCTCAGTGACAGATGGTCCCTACAGTACACGATGGTGGTCTACAAAGAGCTGACTGATCACAGGATGCTGCCATTTCAACTTGTTTTCCCTGTTAAATTTTATTAAGATAGCTAAAAAAATATGCACTTTAATATTTTCCTAGTATTTCCATATAAGCAACTGCTGTAGCTGTTGAAATAGTGGGAAATACTTCAAATAGGTCTGCACTAGCATGCTGTCTTAAAACAGCGTTTTTTTTAAAAAAAACCCCTGCATTCTGAAAAAGCGTGACAAATCCTGAACTAAGGAGTGAACCTGAAGTGAGACAAAGCCTGACCCATATATTCAATTCTGAAATTGAAAAATGTGTGAGAATTGAATACTCATAAGAGTAACTAACCACTGATGGATTCCAGAGCTTCCTAAATCAAAAAGCCACCTGCCAAAACATATTTTAAATGTCTAGTAATAAAAAGAGCACAACAATCACATGGAAAAAAAGGTAAATATTTTCCCCCTACCTATAAAAAAAACCAAAACATTTTTCTTGCAGATGCTCTCCCCCAATCTTTCTGAAAAGCAGTAATAGCTGGCATTTCTGTAAGTGGCAATGATATTATGAAGGGCTTCCTCACTCCCAAGACACTATATTCACAAAACTGTCTGAAACGCACATACACTAAGTATCTTGCAAAGATGTTTAGGTCTTAAGCACGAGAAAAAAAAACACAGCTAATATCATAATCTCTTATTCTCTGAGTAATATGCTTGTATTAACAGTATGCTCTCTATAAATGCAATCAGCAACTTACTATACATGAAAAAAAATGTGCAGATAGAAACATTTCAAAGCCCATTTCAGACTGTTAACAATTTTACCAGAAGAAAATTTAATAAAGTAGTGTTGAATAATACTCACTGAAGTCATCAGGCTTATGTTCCATTTTTCTTTGATCTGAAGCAGTCTTACCAGGATCACCAGTTTGATCAACATTAGTCTTCAAAGCATGAACTCCCAGCGGATTTTCCAACACCAGTTTCCCTTTCTGTGCAGCTGTTAAGCTTTCTGTACTGACCCCATTCCCTGAAACAGGGGAACCTGGAAAGTTTTCTCCCACTGGTTGAACTTTTGTCTGTTTCAGGTTTTCCACTGCTGATGATATATTAGAAAATTTTTTTGCTTTTCCATTACTACGATCCTGAACGTTCGACACCATATCTTTAGTTCCAGGAATACAACTATTTACTTTGCATGATTTATTTTCTCCTTGTTTTTCAGAACAAACATCATTTTGTTTACTTTTTTTGCTGCTATTCCCACTTGGAGAACTTCTCCCAACATCCTTCACAGATTTGTCATTTCTATTATGTTTATAATTTTGATTATTTGTAACTTTGACTGCTTTGCCTTCCTCACAGACAAGACGGACAGACTTCCTTGGGTCATGATTTCCATTCTTTGAGCTCTTGGCCTCTTCCATTATAGTGAAGACCTGCTTCTCCTGCCTCTTGAGACCACTTGAAGTGCAATTCTTCAGCAATTTGCAGTTGATTTTAAAACCACTGCGCAGGCGAGGATCGTAGCTGATTGTCTACTGAAGAAATAATGATAGGCATTTTTAAACTGAAGGAAAAATATCAAAGCTCTATGTAGACAACGCATTAAAATAAACCTCTCTAAAGAAAAGTGTAACTACAAATTATTTTAGGAAGCATGTTCCCCCCACAGGCATAAATGAATTTTCATAATACATTCCGTATTGAAGTAAAACTCATGAAAATTTTGATCATCTTCACTTCTATATAAAGAGGAGGGGATATGAAGAGACGAAAAATGGCAGAACATGGTAAAAAACACTCAGTGATAAACCTGCCAACAGCTTGCTTTTTTCTTTCCTTCCTATTTTTGGCTTTATGAAAAAAAACAAGAATCAAGATGTCTGCAACTACACTGGGGAAAAAAAAAAAAATTTAACACATCTAAAAAATACCACTCAATAAACATACAGCTTAAATTAGCCACTACAGAAAATTAATTCAGTTTCTTTCCAGAAAGCAAGTTCCATTTTATTAAATGATTTAAAGGGAAAAAAAAAAGTATTTAAAGACACAGCTCGAAGTATTAATAATAAACCTAACCTATCACCTGTATCCACAGATAGTTAAGCAAATTTCTGACACATACAATTCTCATGTAAGTTAACTGCCATCAATTAAATAAGATTTTGCTTAGCCAAAACCCCCACAAATAGTAAATATCTTGTTGAGCTGTAGATTAACTTTATTTATCTAACCTCAGTCCTTTAGGTGGTATGTCATCTGAGCTTTATGTGGGAAACAACTCAAAGATTATTTTTCCAATGGTAAACTGAGCATGAATAAGTGAGTCTGTTTGTAAGGAATTACTAATATAAAAAATGAAGACAGAACCTATAACAAGAACTTGGATTTTTTAAAAAATAATTTTTTATTGCCATTCCAGGGTTATGAGAATGAAGTATTAGACATAGAAGAAAATAAATTTTATAAAATCATAGCAAGATATGAAGTTCGGAGTTTCTCTCTTTCCTGTCCAGCTACGTATTTGGTAGGTAAAAGCATGACCTGTGGAAATTCCTGGGTCTTAGAGAACTCATCAAAATAAGTAGCTTATGATTTGGTGAAGAAAAAGAATACTAGCAAAGTCAATTAATTACAACTATTAAAAGTATCACAACGTACTTTTGTATTTAAATCATAAGAAGTAGAAGGAAGGATAAGATTAAAATGTCTGGTTAAAAAAACCCAAAACTTTCTGAACATTACCAGCATAAAGGACAGTAGGGTTTTTTTCAGGCTATAGAACATAGTTACTATCTCTTTCTCACTTTATAGAGACATAAATCGGAAAGTACTTCAGGACACAAAGCATGTACTAAAAATTGTTATCTTAAGCCTCTATTGACATAATTGAAAATACATATTATCTTTCAAAAATGAAAATCAAACAAACAAAACCCACAAGAATTTTCATGAAGTTAATGTTAACATCACAGATATTAGTAAAATATAAAACTTGAAAGAGGAAGAAAAAAACATTCTGTGTTCCTAAATTCATTCCAACAGCTAAGCATTTTATCTCACAAATACATTTAGTTAATATTACAACTATGTTCTATTAAACAGTGATTATACCTGGCTCTTACCTCTAGACCAAAAGTCAAAGACCACAAAACAAAAAGATTAAATAGTATTTGCCTTTGGATTGTAGTCATCCCCACAGCAATTCTTATTAGCTTGGCACCAGGAACTACTGCCCACCTTTACCAGTGCTGCTCAAGTGTCAATGTGGTAGTAAGAGCCCAGGGATCCCACAGGTTGGCTAAATTATTCTAGTCTCTGACCATCAGTATAAAGCATTGCTCTGTAGGCTGGTGAGATGTTATATCTACATGCAGGATGTCAATACCTTTAAACTGTACTGTGATTTTTTTTTATGTAATCAAAAGAGAAATAATAGAATTTTTAAAATTCTAAACTATTCCTTATGTTTTAGTTGCTCAACCTGAAGAGGGGGGGAAAAACCCAAAACCCCACACATCAATTCCACTTTAATTTCTGGTTCACTTCTGACATCCACATGACCCTTCAATTCTGGACTGGAGCACATCGAGGCTACACTTCCACGTTCACTGAAAAGCAGCGTAGGTCAGCACCAACTCTGACAGGAGCAGTAACACCCTTCTCCAACCCCAGCTACTTACTCCCACTCCTCGGGCTGCTCCCTCCCTTGTGCAGTTCTGCAGTGACCAAAACCCGAAAACCAATCCAGTTCAACATAAAGCTGGCACAAGGGAGGAGGAGAAGGAGGAGCAGGAGCTGGTAATAACAAACAACTAGTAGGGTGGGGACAACTTTGCTTGGCATCACTTCCAGCTTAAAGCTACCATGAAACTCCAGCGTTGGAGGAAATGTAGGGCTTCATTTTGCTCTGCTTTTTATAAGTGCCAAATTGTTAGATTCATATTTTACAAGAAGGGTTCAAAAAAAAATCCAGAAAAATTCTACTGTAGGCTCAAATTATTTGATCTCATCCATTCAATAAAATAGTTAGATATTCAAAAAATATATATAAGCTTTAATCAAATGAACAAATGTAACAGGAAAAAACAACGAAGGAAACTGCTAGTAAAAACTATAACCTAGTTAATAAATTGAGTACTGTGACAACGTTACATATTAAGGGAGTGAGTGTAATCAAATGCAGGTAGTTAAGGTTAGAAAGCACAGATATATTCTTTATTCCTGAGAAATATGAATAAAGATTGGTCATGAAATTTCATAAGACAAGAATATTTTGGAAGGGAAAAAAGAAAAAAAAAGTAAAGAGTTCCACAATAAAATTCAAAATCTCAAATGCAAGTGTAATCACACTGTTGTACTTTGGAATTTTTTTTATTTTTTGCCTTTTTTTTTTCTTTTGCTCTTTCACACTGAAATGACTTAGCAAACAAAAAATAATCTAAACTGCTGTAACACACTCAATAGTAACCACATTACCATCTCACAAAGATCTGCAAAGTAAAACAACGAATGAAACTTAACATGAAAAACAAAAAAAAAAAGAGACCACTACTAAACCCAAGACAGTCTCCAAAAAATCCTTCCTCCTCTGTCAGTTATCAGCCATGGACATATGAGAGAGGGGAGACTGGGAAATGGGAGGAGGGAAAGGAGTGCCTCTGAAAAGAGTAGCTTGGTTGGAAACAAAACACTAGAGTAGAGTGAATCAGTGCTGAGGTGGCATCTTTCTAGAAACCTGGATGGCACATCTTATTCACAAGCTCAGGCTCATACCAAACTGCCAGACCTCAAATCAAAGAAGAATTTTCTCCCAGGCAGGCTGGCAGCAAAAACAGAGATTTTCACCTGCGTCTGCAAAGCCAGGTATGATTAACCTCTTGAAATCATTTCAGCGTATTTTATTTACTCAATATCCTGGTGTTAGAAGGGACTCAGTTTCCCCTGCTTTCTGAATGTACAGTGCCAGGTACCCCTCCGAAATTTAGCTCAACTCACGGCTCTTGGTAGAAAAATAATCTGGCTGAAATACAACAGTTTGAGTTCAGACAAGATACCATCTGACCTCAAATTCTAGAAGATTATTAAGCCTATACACACCTACAATGATAAAATTAAAAATGTTTAAAATCAGCTTCAATTTCATTGCTGTAGAATTAATTTAGGCTCATGAAATGAAGGAACGAGATTGTTTCACTTTCATTTCTGCCAGTTTCTTTTGTTTCCTCTTTCTCTCAGGCTAGCATTAGAAAAGTCTGCATTTGAATTGCAAAAACACAGGGTAACACTCCCTTCCAAAAAGGATAAAAACCTCCCACTTTCAAGACGACACTTCTACCCATTTGTCTTTCCACTCCTTCCTCTCAAATTGTTCAAGTGTCTTTAATTTCTTCAAAAGCATGCATTTTGGGTCTGACTTCGCCATAACAGGGCCTCTTCAAAGCTGAAGACCAAGTTAAACTGCGAGCTTTTGCATTCTGAGTTGCTCTTCTGCAAAGCATTTCTTTGTTAATCATTTCATTAGGAGCAGAACTAAATATACCTTATTTCCTAGACATTCATTTTGTCACACTCTCCATCACAGCCCCTTGGGCAAGCAGAGGAGGCATGCTGTAGCTGGAGGAACATACATGCTGTAGGTAGTACGTAGCTACTCCCTAAGAGGAAAAATCTAACTTCCTCTTGCTTTCCCCTCAGCAGAGACACCACCTCTACCGAGGCATGATTTTTCCAGAAAACATACAGAAACTCAACGATCTTTTGACATTACTCCAAAAGTGTTCTAACATTTGGTCCCAACTGCTTGAAATGTCCGAAAGTAATGACAAGAGTGTAGAGCAACTAAAACTTATGAGACTGTTCTCTTCCCCTTTGTTTCTTCCAGGAGTACTAGATTAAATATAAACAGGGAAAGTACTACAAACACAACTGTTATCACCCTCTAAAGCACTCCCTCCCTTGAGATAGAGACCTGTATTTTATCTGAGATCTGCTTTTAGCTGTCCCATTATGATTGTCCCTTAAACTCAAACCTCCTCAGCCAGCCTTCCAACAGTAAGTGGGGTGATTAGCCTCAGTCCCATCCCCCATCCCCTGCCCCGCCACCCAATTACCAATACAGCCCAGCTGAACTTCCTCAACAAAAATAAAAGGAAATTCAGCAAACAAAGATTACAGCCACAGACAGGAACAAAAGGAAAGGTTGTCTTCTATGCTCTGCTCAGATTGCAGCACAGGTAATGTCTACAGACAGCCCTAACGTGCTGGGGGGGTGGGGTGGTGTGTGTGTGTCTCTCTCTTCTGGACTGTTTACAGCCTTAGGCCCCTTTTTGTGTCTGAGAACTTCTACAAATCACTCAGGCTTCTGCTGTTCTCCGTGTCAACTGTTTAAAAAAAGGTTATCACAAATTTATGTTTGTTTTATGATGACCTACACATAACTTAGTACAAACCATTACCAATCCCTGATGTTTTTCCAAGTCACTTAGAACTATCAGAGATTACTGACCACTAGAACTCCTCAGCAATAAACCTACCCATATTCTTAGTAAAAACCATAAGTGCTATACAGTGTTTCAGATCTTCCCGTTTCTACAGGCTATAGATTTTAGGTTATTAAGTATAACACTACCAAAATCTATGTAGAAGGAAGCCAGTGCAGTGCACACAAAATTTAACACAAAAAACAGGGATGCAAAAAAAGTAACGCTTTGGGTTTAGTGAAGATATGTAACTCAGCAGGAAGCTCTAATATTGTATTTACTATGTGGAGGATTGAAAACTTCTCTAAGGAGTGATCGTTAGATAAACAAGTATATGTAACTGTAACAGGATTATATCCAAATAGCAAAAGTACTGCTGAATAACTGAAGTAACAGGAAAGGCTTTGTTTGATACAAAACTTAGTAATGTATGTAGGTGCAAATATCTTACAATTACATTCTTAAATGAGCAGAATATGCAGGATAGAAAATCTGTACAAGATGTGCTTTGTTATAGGTTATTTTCTCTCTGCATTGACACCCGCTGTCTTTTCTACAATATGGTATGACTCACTGAGAAGGTAAGAAAGAGGCAGATCACCAAACGCCAAGAACTACCACTTTCTGAAGCTACTCCTGCTGATGACTCCCATTCCAACCTCCAGAACACCATCCTCTCTGTCACACCAGCTGCGTAACTAAGTTACAACTGCTTCCCTTACCTCCGTATTTCACGTAAAGATTCCTAATGCTTTAGTTTTGGTTCTGATCCTAGGTTTTACCCTCATAGTCCTTTAAACATTTCACAATCAACTTAAGCAAGCACTGAATCCAGGAGTACCACCTGCCTCAAATGTTGCTGCATGATGTAACCAGATCAGGCAACTGATCCAAGGTAGCTCTAACTTTTTTTTTAAAAAAAAACCACAACATTTGTACCAATAGAGATGAGGAGGCTGGAAAAACACAGTACAGCACTGCATAGGTTTCAGAGTTAGCCTTTCAGAGGCTAAACTACCTTCCAGAGGCCTGAACTGATTGGCAAACTGGCTTAAATGGCAGCTATGCATTTGAACTCAATTTATCCACCTTATTCTTAAACCTCCGTTCGTATTTGGCGTTTATGCTAAATAAAACTTCTATGTCACAAATACATACTGCTGTATTTTATCTGGATCTTGTATTTAAGCAATAGTCATCCCTTCACCCAAACTCTAATCCTTGAGGAAGGGACAGCCTTTGAACTACTTCATACTGTTCAAACTACAGCTAAAGCAAATGGATCTTCCAGCAGTATCTTTACCTCTGTTTTACCAGAATCCAGCACTTTCACTAATGAAAGAAATATGCTGAAAACCACTACTTTAGAAAAGCTGTCAAGAATACTTCCATATAGTTGGTACATAGAGCGAGTCACAACAGTTTGCAACACAAAACTGATTTCAGGCTCCCAAGTAAAGCTTTGCTGACACCAGAAACTGAAATCTGAAAGTTACTTCTCGCTGGAAATAGTATTTCATACATCAGCAGAAATAAAAAAATAAAATCTGAGAACATATTTTTTTTTTCAAACATTTGATAAAACATTAGAACCAAAATCATGAACCAAGGATACAGTATGAATACATATACATGTATGCATGCATCTCTGGTGTAAAAAAAAAAAAAAAAAAAGGTAAAAATTAGATAAGTAAGCATTGTTACTAAATTTAGGTATTAAGTTTTTACTGCTTCTAAGTCAAAAGAGTTACTAATCTATCATTAATGTGAAATTAAACAACCTATCAAACAATATAGTCTTAATGTGCCAAAAGCATCAGAAATATTGACTTCCTTCTGGATTGCTTCTGTGCTGCAAATTAATCCACTAAGCAAATTGGAGAGTCCTTCCTTCTATGAGCCCTCAGTACAAGTAGTACTGTTATTACATTAGTTCATTAAGATAGGGACACAAAGTAAATTTAGTAGAAATGCTTTGTAAAATTTCAAAAGCAAGCATTATGACTAGAAAACAGGATATACCCTCAGCTGGGCAAAATTCTGAACTGCTTTATGGTATCAACATGAATACACAATCCAAAACCATCACTCAGATGCAGATCTACAAGACATTTAAGAGGAGCTTCCCAGGGGTATCTTGCTTTCAGGTAGGACACAGGGAAATCCTGCTCCCCATTTTTTTTTTTTTTCCTCTTTCTCCTTGTAGCAGCAATCCCCTTTAGAGGAAGAACCAGGTAAGTGCCCCACACAGTGCGGGTGCCTCATGGTATTCGGCAGTTTCTTTTCCTCTGCTAGTTGAGGTATGACTGAAGTCCCAGCTGTCTTCTGTACAAGAACAGAACATAGAAGGAACTTTCTGATCCCTCTGTATGTATCTTCTGGGAACATATCCCAATACATATGTTCTGAGAAATTGTAATTTCATCCTCAAATTAATTTTATCAAGGTATTTTCACTAAAGTTAAGTAGAAAAAATTATTTTAAACAGATGTTTGTAAAGGAGACCTCCAACTCCTAACATAGCATCTTCTGTCAGATACTGTAATTATCATACTTCCACCACTGGTTTACTTTTTTTGTCACATAGTTATTTCATAACTATCTGAGGTCAGACTATCCAAAAAGCACCTACTGAAACTGTAAGCACAAGTCAAACAAAACCAGAAACAACGCATATCCTGTATTTTCAATCAAATGCAATGACTCTAAAATTCAAGGTATAGTGCTCAGGAAGCCAAGTGATGTGGAGATGGCATGAATATAAAAATAATTATTAGATTCATACTTAGATACAACTATCTTTTTTATGTACTAATCCCTTCCTTAGCCTAAACCTGATTATATTGTTTCTCTGCATGTTATGAACTCATCCTCCTTTGATATACCCAGAAACAATCTTAAAAGCAAGAAGGCCTCAGGTAATATGACACATTCAGCCAACTGACAAATTGCAACATACTGCAAAAGCAGCGAAGTCGTCCAGCTGTATTTGTATACAAGATAAGCCAACAAAAGAGCACCAACACAGCGGCGAAAGGATGCCTGTGTGTCATTTCGAGCACATCATAACCACAAGAAAGCCCCTCTCGCTTTAGCAAGAAGAGGCAGAGGGGTGCACAGCTCGCAAAGACTGCCCGGGACAGGAAGGCATTTCCCTGGGGGGGCTTCACCGACGCCATGGTCTCCCCCCCCACCCACTCCCAGTATTTAATTCCACCGGGCGGGAGAACAACAAGCTGCACGTACCCAGCTCCAGCCTGGCAGAGCCCCGAGGGCGCGCAGCCGGGCACTGCCCTCAGGGCGGCCCCCAGCTTGGATGCGGCCGCGGGACCGACCCCTCTTCCCCGCTGACCTTGGAGCCGCCCCCCCCCGCCCCTCACCCGGGGCCGTGACCGGCGCCCTCGGGGAGCCCCGGCACCGCCACCCTGCCCGGGACGCGGGGGTCGAGCAGCACCGCCGGGCTGCCCAGGCGGGGCGCAGGGCAGGGCTGAGGCGGGGGGCGCCGGCCCACCCCCCTTCTCCCCGGAGCCCGCCTCCCCCCCGCCCCGCTCGGAAGGGAGAGAGCAGAGCGCGCCCAGCCGCCCCCACCCCTCGGGGGAGGCCCACGGAGCTGGGCGTGTCCCCCCGGGGCCCGGTACCTGGCTGTGGCGCTAGGGGTGCCGGGGCTGCGCCCCCGCCATGCCCCGGCTCCAGGTGCTGGAGGCCCCGACGCCAGCGGCTCAGTCCGGCCCGGCCGCCATGTCAGCCGCGCCGCGCGATGCATTGTGGGGCGAGGGCGGGAGGGAGAGCCTGGAGGGCGGGCGGCGCTGCCGGGAGGGCGCGGGGCAGACGGACGGACGGACGGACGGACGGGCATGCCCGGCTCGACCCGATCCCGGCTGCTGGGGGGGTACTCCCCCCGCGCCTCACAACTCCTCGGTGGGGGGCCGCGCCCCCCCTTCCCATCTCCTCCGGCGTTCAGGGCCTTCCCCCCCCCCCCCCCGGTGCCACAGCAGGAAACGAGGATGTGGGAATAAGCAGCTCAGTTTTTTCCTTAATCCCCCGCACCCCAGTTACCCAGATGTTTTTGTTCCATTTACTCCCCTTTTTTCATCCCAGCCCTCTCCCCACGTACGCTAGGCCCCAGGCCCTGTGGCTCAGGGTTAGGGCCCGCTTGCAGAGCTGGCCCTGCCCTTCAGCCTGGGTCCTGCTCCCCCCCCTCCCTCAGGGCTTCCCCCTCCTCCCTCGGTTCCCGACGCTGCCTTTTGGCGGAGGAGGGCTCGTGTGCTCTACACAAAGCAGACAGTGGTAAACAGGGACTCTAAGGGAAATGGCTCCCTGACCTTGGCCATGAAGCTGGCCCTGGCTACAGCCAGGGACGGCGTCCCGGACAGCGTGTCTACAGGCAGTTTCAAGGGTCTTGAGGGAGAAGAGCCAGTCCGCCTGGCTCTGGGCAGTGCTGGGGGGTGACCTAAAGAAATTGGGCGGTGTTCGTGTAAGACAAACCTGTCTGTGATCCAGTATGGTACTACCCCTTCTTGGCAGTGAAATGTCATGTTGTTGGCACTTCCTAGCCCAGGCTAAGGAGACCTTTCCAGAAAAGGCACATAAAAGATCATTGACCTACTAAAGGGGTTCAAAGGAAAGTATTAAAAAAAATGTGAATAGTTGTGCTGGAAACACCACCTCAGAGAGTCAATGGAGGTAAACAAAAGTTGCAAAATCTGTAATACAGGACTCCATAAAAATACTGGCAAGTCGTACTTCTGAATGTATTGTGAAGTCAGTGCGATCCTTAGAGCTCATCTGCTTTTTTTGTAGTTCACTTGCAGTTCACATTTTACAAAATGAGGATTGGGTAGCTCAGGGTATTGCTAATGGGATGGAAAGCAGCGCTTTCACCTTTAGGAACACGGGCCAATCCAGTCCCAGTCAGCAGTGCCAGAAATGGCAGTGCTGCAATGCTGTCTGGGGACAGCTGGGGTTAGGTGGGTGGTGGTTTCAGTCCAATCCTATTTGACAAAGATTTTTATTAGGTTTCGTAGACCAAAGAGTAAATTGCAAAAGTAACTAAATTATACTTGCTACTGGATACAGTCCTCCTAGATCAACATTTAAACATGCTAGCAAGCAAACACACACCAGTTTGCAAACCTGACTGGCATTTTTCCTGCAAGTTGAAATTTATTAGAATATATCACATTTAGTTCAAATAGTTGGATAGACTTGAATATGAAATGTTAGTGCAGTTTGGCTCTGAAAACTTGAATCATTATAAAGCCAGCAGTCTCTCTCTGAGTATTCAGACACAATTCTTCTTTCTTTGCCGATGTTAAAGAATGTTTTATTGCAGGGAGCAATATAGAAACATGGCAGTAAAAGAGGAAGCTGAATTCTACTGCCAGCTGGCCATTATTTAAAGAATTCCCAATTCAGTGGCAGTGATCAAAAACTTTCAGATACTGGGCTCAGCTTGTAGGAGAAAATACAATTCTGAAAGCCACTAAATTTTATCTAGAAATCAGAGACAAAAATCATAGAGTTGTAGGAAGCAGATTTTATGAAGTCCCTTTCCACAGCAAAACCTTGCTTGACTCATGTTGCAGGATGATGCCTCATTTTTAGTCCCATGCCCAAACTACTATAATATTATGACTCAAAAAATGTAAAAGTGTATTGTAGATTTCTGTTTCATTTTCTGGCCAAATATATGCTTATGTTGAATTATTCTCATCATTAGAATGATTTTTTATCATTTTTAGGATTTACTGCTTTTTTAAGATTTATTTAAAAGTATTTACTATATTAAAGCCCGATTCTCTGTTTCCAGCTGGGTCTGAAGAAACTCTAAAACTTCTTAGATAATTTATTTATAAAATGAGGAAATCATACTTGACTGTCCTCTAAGGGAAAGGTTCTTGGTCAGTACTACAACCAGGAAAGTATACAGAAGGAGAGCACTTATCTGTGAAGATGAGAACTTCAGATTTGTAGCACAGTGTACCTTCCCCATAAACAGCATGGCATAAGATTTTCCATCTATATATTTTTGTGGCATATTGCATTATTTCTTGATGCTGGGCATCTACTTAAGCGAAATACATAAAATCATGAAAAATCTGAAATGTTTAAAAAATATAATTAAAATTTTCAACTAGTTATACATGGCTTCTTCACTTACAGTAATGCCACTTATGCTTTAATTACCTAACCAAACTTAATCAAGATGTCAAAGATATACCAACAATCAGTTTAAAAAAAATAAAATCACTAAGTGAGATTACAAAATGTAATTTGCTCTTCAAAAGATAAATTTCCAATATGCCCTGGATGTGCTACTTGTTTTCTGTAAATCACTACATTTTGCTTTTCTTTGCCAAGAATTATCAAAATTGTAGGCATAGAGGACCAGTTTCTCAGTCCAAGAAGAAATCAATGACCATCAAATGCTTTCTATTGTTACTTTATACAAATCATTTTCTTCCAGCAGACGTAGTAGCAAACTGTATAAATGGTAATTTTTTCTTGCAGATAACCCAAGAATGGCACCAGTGCACTGAAGCAGTGGTTTGGCACTGTCTATCTGAGAGGTTTGCTACCAAATTCAGTTCCTGATGCTTAATGCCTCTTTTTTGCTTAAAAACCCTTTGATAATGTGGTTTCTCCCAGATCACACTGAAGACCAGTGGTCTGGCCACTCATTTCCCACCGACCGGGTACATGCAGAGACAAATTTCCCAAAGGCCTGGGTAATGGTGCTCTGTTTCACATGATCCTGTGCTCGGCACGTTTGTAATTCTGCTTCTGCTGACTGTATGCAGCAACTCTTGTTCAGAGCACTTGCATCAGTAACCACTAGCAACCAAGCCACTGGTATCCTTTGACATTACACCATAGTTACTAGGTGCTATAGTCAGTATATTAAAAAAAGAGACTTGCAGATCCATCAGAAATCACAATAACTCTATCCCTTATTTTCCTAGGGCATAGTTGAAGCAAATCTCTGACTGGTACCCCACAGACACATACAGTATTACTGTTCTTGAGCCAACTAGCACTTTCATTCATCTTGTACCATAAATGGCCTTATTTAAGACACCACTACCACCACAAAACACTAAATTTTAGAGTATTTTAATCATCCATAAATACATCTTCCTGCGGTCTGCGATGGACACAGCTCCTACAGCTCTGCAGAAGCCAGACTGTTGCAAAAGCTCGGTTTGCAGCAGTCCCTTCTTTGCGGCAGCGCTTTCCTATCGTGGCAAGTGTCTCTGCAGCGCGGCCGTGCAGCATGCTAGATCCTGAGGGCAGTGTGGAGCACAAGCCTTCCTCTTCCTTCCCCAAAGTTTTCCTCATCCCTCTAGCCATGCTCCTTGCAATTGCAGCACTCCTGCTCTTAGCATTTTCCGCTACGCAGCAGAAAGAGCCTGATTTTTACACTTTCAAAGTTGTAAACATCAGGGGCAAACTAGTCTCTCTGGAGAAGTACAGGGGCTCGGTAAGTCTGCACGGAGGCGGGCAGCTCTCGCCCAGACTCACTAACCAGCCAGTCCTTGCATGCCTGCAGAAACCAAGTGGGGGTGGAGAGATTGTACATTAACTTGGTGCACGTATGCAGATAGACCTGGGTTTACGACTCGTCTCTAATTGATCTGGAGTGTTGCCTGCATGCTTCCTTTGATAGCGCTCCGTAGGTCTTTGCACTCTTTAAATAAAACGTTTGCAGACTAACCTCTGTGTGTGGCCGCGTCTTTTCCTTGTGCAGGCTGCAGCCCTGTAGACGTGGCAGGCGGGGAATGCCTGCCTGCCTTTGCTTCAGCAGGATGAATTGCACAGGGTTCTGGCTATTCAGTTTGGAGCTCAGGAAGTTTGTACCCTTCTGTAACTTACTTTTGGAGCTTATTTCTGCCTTTTAACTGCATGAATTTTAATAAATTATTTTTGCCTAAATCCCATTCCTTTTTAATGTTCTGCATTAAAAAAAAAAAAAAGATTTAATCAGTCGCTAATGGAGTTAACAGATTTACTAACATAATTAGTAAAAAAGTGAGAGCCATGTTAAAGTAATGATTTTAATACCAGTGTATAGGGAAATTGTAGCAACATCATGCTATTCCCCTTGTCACTTTCTAGTCTGACAGAGCAATACAAAGCAAGGCATGTAGACACACATATACTTTTATGATGTCTTTTAAATTTCATTTACATATTATATTAAGGAGTTCTAGTCGGAGCTTTCCTTCCCATTTTAAGAACAATTTCCTTGAATGTAACCTGATTATTTTCTTTTTTAGTGGTTTGACCATCTAGGAAAGATAGTACCTGTAGAAGAGTGAAAAGGGAAGTTAGCACACAGAGTACATAATACTATAAGCTCTCGTACCTACATGCACAAATTACAGAAGCTAAAATCAACATAAAGCCTTAGTGCTCAAGTGACACATCCATCTTCTGTGGTAGTGCCGGGCAGTGCAGTAGCTTAGCTGCTGCACAAGAAGGCAGGCACTACTTCTTGCCTTCACCCTTAGTCTCCAGTGTTTCCACCTTCCTTTTCCCTCTCCTCAGGTACTTCACTGAGGTGTCTGAGCTCACTAGTCCACAGCAGTAGGTCACTAAAACATTGGCAGGAAGACAGAGAAGGCATATGGGAGGAGATGTACATTTTCTTGAGCTCAGTAGAAAGGGATACTGGTGGATTTGGACCAAATGAGAGGTCTGAATATTACCTGGTCAAAGTCCTCTTCCTCCTCTGTTCACAATTCAGATAGAGCAGAACTGGTCCAATGCACACTCAAATATCTATATTGGAAACATCATGGAACCTATTTAATATTAAGCAATATTTGCTTTTTTTTAGGAGTTCCTTCCAAAAGCTCTGTCAATAAATCCTGTTACTGGGGCATGTTCTGTCTGCAGGTCACCTGCAAATCTGTCTGAATAAGCAAATACCATTTGTAGCTTCTCTACCTCAGGGCCAGAACCCACATGGAAAGGAGTAAAGGGGAAACAGAGGAATTCTTTACGGCCACTCTGCAAAGAGCTGCGGGTGTTCATCCCCTCCAGAACATGCTGCAGAGCCTGCCCTGGTATCTCATCAACACACCAGCATGGGGGGGTGTGTCTGTATGTCCAGTGGTGCTCTGATACCAGGCCATCCTCAAGGTGTGACTGGTTTCATAAGGGAGAGCTCTAGAGCCGTACCTTGGAAAAGGTAATGCCATCAGTGAATGGTACTCCTTGATCTCTGCTAGACCATACAGAATAGTTTATTCCAAAAAAAGTGATAACTAGCTTCTGTATGGAACAAAAAGATTTGCATTCAGAGAACCTATTCATGTTCAGACTAGCTGCTCTTTGATAATGTATGTGCACATTTTTAAAGAAAATTATAGCAATAAAACTCAACCCTTTCTGTCATGTTGTCAGAACTCAGTATCAAGGTAGACAAAGGTTAATTAAAATTCCCATTGATTTCTTAAAATAAACCTGCAGTTAGATAAGTAATCTTAAAATGTAGGTTTATCATAGTATTTTAATGCTACTAAAAGAAAGCAAATAGTATATAAGTACTACATATGTGCTGCTGGTGTTTTAAAGAAGGTGAGTCACTAGTTAGCCCCTGGAACAATAGTCTGCTAATTGCTAAACCAGCTTTTAACAGCCTTAAGCTTTGTGGCAGATGTAGAGAAGACGTTTTCTTCAATTCCGTCACTCAACTAATTTAGTTAAGTAACTTCTTAATTGATAGTTAAGAAACTAACTGGGAATTGAAAAAATCTAAAAGGTTCCAGAGTATTAAAAAAAAAAAAATTTGCTAATTCTAAGAACACAAGAGCCATACTAAGTATAAACAATCAGTGCAATTCATGACTTGCAGAATCCTTTCTTCAGTAACTCATTATTAATATATTGTGTATTCAGATAACTGAAACAATTTTTCTTGGTAAGAAAAAAGTAAGACTGATTGGTATTAATTCAAATTACACTCAAGTGCATCTTGATACAAATCACAAGTACCCTCCGTTATATAGTAAATAAGAAATGTACTAACAATTCTGAAATAACAAAAATTTAAAAAAATTAGGAAACTATTTCCTTAAATGAATGTGCACAGACATAAGCTACCCTCCACTTCAACAAAAATGAAAAATACGTGAGGGAGTACAATTTGGCATACATACTACAAAATCAGGTATCATATTACAACTACCTGAAAGCAAAGAAAGGGAGGAGTATTACGACTAAAAAAAAAGAATACCACAAGCAAAAGAGATTAAAAAGCTGTCTGCTTTACTGTATTGTGCAGGGCGGCTGTACTCCTATGATTTTTCTAGGCTACCATGCTGATGTTGACCCATCTACATTAAAAATGAAGGGCAGTGATGCATCGTTGTAAAAGAATCACTAGGATCGAAATAAGATTAGTTTTCTATCTATCTACCTATCTAATTCAAGAAAGTTTATATTTTATTTTATGATCTCTATCAGATATGCCATGAGAGGCAGTATTCTTACCAAAAATAGTATCTATTTAGGAGTCAGAACTCCCAAGCATCAACAGTTCCCTGCTGTATTTATACCTATCTAGATATAATAGTAGCTACCTACCTGCCTGCTTACCTACCACACAGCTAAGTACAGTGTGCTGAGGTGTAATTAAGCGGTGTTAGTGCACTGCTTTGGAAATCTTGAACCAAAGGTACTATAATAATGTAAAAGCATTAGGCACTATAACAACGTAAAGTATTATTTTACTATTGAAAGTAATGCTAGGCACTTTGCATCACAGATCTCTGCAATCTGAGAATGCAAAATTACTGAATGTGTATAAATACAGAATATAGTTACTTAATTACTATACAAAGTATTGCTATTTTTTCCCATTAAAGTAACAGCTCTGTGAGTCGGTGTAATCTGACACTTGTGGCTGGTTCTTCCATCAGTCAGATGGAACCAGTTAAGAATCTCCAGGTCTAAAAGCCCGAGTATCTACTGTCTCTGCTAAAAGATCCACAAAGGGTTACTTGAAGCTGATATCAGATTCATAAATCCTTCCAGGGATATGTTTCTCAAGGAGGTACAATAGTTTAAACATTAAGTAAACCAAAAACTGTTTTTGCAATGCTAAATAAATCAGTTCACTACTGGAATGCATGGGCTTTCTAAGCAAAGGGAAGAGTAGTATTAAGAGGTCAGACAACAGTTAATATAGAATTCAGCTTAAATCATTTTTGTAAGGTCCAGGATGAATTGTTTTCACTGCACACTAGGTGGTGTACTTGACTTGCACTCTCAGAGCCTAAAGTCAGTCAAGAGGCATACTGAACTTAATTTAAATCATTAAGAGTTGTAAGAAGTCAAAGCAGACTCTTCATGAGAACAAAAATAGTGACTGTTTTTTATTAAAAACAAAATACAGACTAGAAAAATATCATCAGATTTAATCAGTTCTGATACCAGACACTTGAAAGATAACTCAGTAAAGATTTTTAAACAATCATTTTAAACATTCCTTATGAAATTCTAATAAATCCTGAAAGCTTTTTTTAATACGTGTTAGTTATACTTTCAGGAGGTTTGCACTGTTAAATTATGGAGTTCAGTAATAGGATGCATTTTTCTAAGGAAAAAAGAGAAGTAGAATGTGTCTGCCATTCTAAGAAATGCTGCATGTAGTTTCCTCCTATTTTATGGGAGAATATTTGGACGTTTGCATCATTTGCAGTGTGAGTTCTCATGCCTTGCACCACCATGCCAAATAATCACTGGTTTTAGACAGCTGTGATTTAAAATTGTTTCTTTTTGAATTAATTATTTCAAACCCTCCTAACTTCAAAATCAAGTAAAAGTTATAAAAGCTTGTTTTTGTTGGCAAGTCATTTTTCAAATCTGCTATAATATGAACATAATACCTACACAACCTTATCTCCCCCAAAACTCCTACAACAGATTCTTACATTACCATTGTATTTGGGATAAAGTACCAATAGATATGAATACAGTAAGGTGTATGAATACAGCTGCATCATGAGAATGCTGAGTCTTAAACTATTTAAAAAGGCCTCTAGAATTTCACATGAAAGAACTACATGTGACCTCAACTCTTAGTGTTACAATTTATCTTTACTTCAATCATACTAAACTACAGTTGTCACTATGCTTGGTAAATACAGATTATTTTTAAAGAACAGAACTGCCGATAGTTATTTTTTACATCCAATGTATAAATTCTATTTGAAATGCAGACAGTGTAACAGGAATGCATCATAATATTATTACCTCTTCTCTGTAAAAAAAAAAAAAAAGCAAAAATTGTAAGTCATATCTTTAGATGTTTTAAGAGACTGAGTTTAAAATTTCAGGTAGAGCTTGTAAATGTAGTCTGAATGAATGTGATGCTTTGGAAGTTAGCTAGATGGCTCCAGATGATATTTCATATGCAAGTGTATGGGGTTACTTAGATTGTATTCTGCTGACACACAACACCACAAAGAAGATTACATCAACTTCTGCTTTATAAAATTACCTGTCTTCCAGGGAAAACAGTGCCACTCTGAAATCACTTTAAATATAGCCATATACCTATAGAAAGTACAAAATACACAAAGTAAGTGCTAATGTTTAATGTAAGAAATTCTAAACACCAGCATCCCATTAGCTTCTTCTTTACTCATTCCTACCCATCTTATTATCCCATACCTTACCCCAATTGTGGGCTTTTATTGCCAGTTTGTTTTCTGGCCTTAAACCACTATACACGTGTAGTTACTTATTTTTCATATATTATAAATTATTTGATGCACTCTATTCATATGTCCTCTATACTTTTGTATAAAAACATGCACATAGGAATATGGAACAATAGTAACATTAGAATCCAAAGTTTAAATTGAGCAAAGCCAGTGGTCACAGACACATGTATAAGACATGGAGTCAGGATTTTTTACTTCCTTTTTTTTACCCTACAGCTACTTGCTGCGTAATTTGATCAGTTAATGTGTCCAAGCTTCCGGCTTTTCTCTTGCAGCACTGGGTCCTTCAACACCGCTGTCTCACACTGATAATAATAATAACCAACATGCCAGCTTCTATGAAACTTCCAAACCCTTCTAGAAAGATCCAATGTGTATAGCTACAGTTATTGTACTAGCACTGGGGAATGAGTTGGCTACTTCGAATTCAAAGGTTTTTTGCAATTTGAGAATGAAGGACTAGATTCTGGGCTGATGTATAATCTGTAGAAACCCACCAGATTCAGTGTAAACCAGGTAGAATTTCAGTTCCCAAATCATAATGCTTTTTCTGCAATATGCCTGATTTTAATCTAGGTTGATAGAAACATTTTTAATATTATAATATTTATATTGCCTTATGACTCTTACAAATCAGTCTGGATAAAGAAGTAGAATATGATTACATGTAAAAGAAACATCACTATAAAGTATACAATAAATTTATATTGTATCTAAAGGATCTGTGACAATCAGCTCTAATCCACTCTCAAGAAAACATTAGAATGGGCTCAATTTATGTAGAACAAGTGGCAACTCACACTTACAAAATTCATAAGAATAATAAAGTCTAAAAGTAAATTCTAGAGGTTATTTAAGGATAAAATATCTCAAAAACCAGTGGAAAGCTCTTTGTGACTTTGAAAAACTGTGTAATATGTTTCATCTCAGGGTTAGGTCACTTATGTTCCTCAACAAATTCTTGGCAGAATCGGTTCCACCATGTATTCTCCCTACATATGCCTTTATTTTCCTGTCGTGTTCATCTGTGTTTGGCATCTTCCTCTCTGCTGGATCTGCGCAGGCAGATACATGCCTGGTGGCAATGTCCAAATGACACAAAGCACACAACATCAAAGATGATCAACTACAGGAATAACTTTAAAGGATAACGGGCACAGCCTTCACTTCTAGGAATCTCTAATTGAGACAGTAAGCCTTTACGCAAAATCTGTTGTCATTTTGTCACAACTAAGTAGACTTACTCGAGACATGATGGGGGGGGGGGGGGGTAGAATTTCACAGTCCAGACTGCACAGACCAACCCCAAATCCTGTAATTGCTTCTATTAATTTCTAGATCAAGACATCTACACCAGCAATGGTAAGTGGATCAGGCAGTTCTGTATGAGTGCTGAATTCTGTACAAGGAAAGATGCTGCAGAACAGATGCCTTACTACAGATAAGTGGACTACCAAAATTACATTTATTTGCAGTCTTCTTTCAAACAACTTGGTATACCTTAGTTTCATTTCTTAAATATGCTTAGGAACTATACAAAAGGCAGAACAGAAAAACATAGATTCTCTGTCAACTGAGAATTAAGATTACTTAGCAGTTTATTGATTATATTCATGGTTGCCAAATGGGAATACATAAACGAAGTATTAAATCTGCCTGTTGTGAACAGAACTTGGTGTAGTTTCAAACATAAGTGTTCAGTCACAGTTTTCTAGACATCCTCATTTTTTGAAAATAAACTGCATCCCAGCCTACCTGTTGGAAAACTGACATGTGCAGCACATTTTTAAATCTCTCTTGTTCTTCAGGTATCCCTTGTTGTCAACGTTGCGAGTGAGTGTGGGTATACAGATAGCCACTACAAGGCCTTACAACAATTACAGAGAGACCTCGGGCCCTATCATTTCAATGTGCTGGCATTCCCATGCAATCAATTTGGGCAGCAAGAACCAGACACTAACAAAGAAATTGAGAGTTTTGCACGAAAGACTTATGGTGCCTCGTTTCCTATGTTCAGCAAAATTGCAGTCAGCGGAGCTGGTGCAATTCCTGCCTTCAAGTACTTAATTGGTGAGTAATTTGGAACACTGGAGAGTTGTTTCCCCAGTGTAGAATTCCTCTGACACGAAATACCATCTGACAGAAAAAACAGTATCTATGACTGTGTTCACAGAATCATAGCACATAATTGTGAGACTCAAAGAGGTCAGAAGTCATGTAGTCCATCCTTCTGCACGAGGCACCCCTGACATCTTTGTCTAACCTTCTAAAAACATCTCCAGGGATGATGATACTATGATAACAAATGCCTTGTAAAAGCTAATCTAATAAACCTCTACATGAGATACAGGTTTTGAGATACTGTCCTGTATGTATATGACACCTGATCTTCCTTTTTCCACTTTGCAGTCTTTTAAGTGCTTCTCCCGTGACATGACTGCTGCAGGTTAGATGTATAAGATTCATCTCAAGAGCTGTAGGATAAGTGGAAACAAAGTGCCTACATAATTTACTTCAACAATCAAAAAGCGAAACCAGGCACTATGTCCTTGAATACCCCCTTCCTCATTCCTTGCCAAGCATTGGAATAGCCATGCTGTACAGTTCCTCCAGTTCTAATCTGCATTATAACTAGCACTGAGACCCGAAGAGGTTTTGCTGGTTCTTAGCAGACAGCTGGCAAAATATGCTGCAAAGTAGGATATTCTCTATCAAGGCACTACTCTTCTTGCACTGAACAAATGCAATAAATGCTATTTAAATGCTAAACTAAAATGTCAGTTTTTATCCAATGTGAAGGAAATGTCTTTCAGCATTAATATATAATAAATCCCAATATGACATAATATCACCTGAGCTGCATTCTGCAAGGACCATATCGTTGCTGCTTTTCTCCAGCACCACAGTGTTCTCCTACATACTACTGAATTTAAAGGAGTGTTGGGAGTATTATTTTTGACTACCCCAAGCGCACCTCCTTCCAGGTGTTGTAATGGATCTTTCTGCTAGCCAAACTTCCCTTCCATACTCTTCACATCCTTCCATTTCTGTTTTGCCCAGCCAGCTTGGTACTGCAGACATGTCACATGAAACTTCCAAAGCTTCTGTCTCCCTGTTGGTCCACACACAAAGGGAGGCTGCTGGAGGCAGTATATTTATACAGCATAATGACAAGATAGTCAGCAGTGTGGGTCTGGCTGTGTCTTGATGATATTTTGAAATATCTTCTGATTTCTTAGGAGATTTTGCCCAATGTATAACGAATGGAAAAAGGTGATAATTTGTCTGTAGCATCTGTACTGGTGCTATTAGTGGGATGAGGCTCCTGGTCTGATTGAAAATCCTGAAAACTCTGTTAGTAATGTAGCAGAATAGTAAAGGATAAGAATGCAACTCATGTAAAATGAGTATGTGGTCACAGAAGGAAAAACTGTAGTAGATGAGGATTAGGAGGAAACCTCCTGGAACAATTTACTTTGTTATTTCTTCATGTAGCATTTCTTGAAACATTCTTCTGAAGCACATGATACTGGTTGGTTTTGGAGGAAAAATTCTGGATAAATAAGCAAATAATCAGTCCTGATACAGCTATATTGTTATGCCAAATTCCATTTTCCTATCAATGTTCAACTATTTCAGATTTATCTATATAGCACAGACACACACACACACATGCATGTATACACTTTAACGCCAATTATAGTGCTTTTTTCCTCTGTCTCAAGCTTAACTGTTTCCATCACTCTCCAGGGGACTGCTGTCTAGTTAAAGCTCCCTGTCTGTCAGAAAACTTATCTTATTATTCAGTTTGAACTCCCTCTTAATTTTACATTCCTTCTTCCTCTGAGAGGGTAATCATCAAATTGACATGAATAAATGTCAGGAATTGGCTAATGCAGTTTTCTTTTTTAAGTTTCCACTGGTTTTTTGCTTGTAGATTCTACAGGAGAAGAACCAACCTGGAACTTCTGGAAATATCTGGTGGACCCCAATGGGAAAGTAGTAAAGGCCTGGGACTCTACTGTCTCTGTTGAAGAAATAAGACCTCATGTTACAGAACTTGTAAGGAAAATCATCCTGAAGAAGAAAGATGAATTATGACTTTCAAAAATCCCAGCATGCCAATTATATCTTTAATGAGAACTAGGGCTGGACTTTGTCTTTTCACATTCCAAAAGAGAGTATATGGGGAGGGGAAATTATGACTAGTGGAATCTATATGTACCATCCTAAGAATGTAGAAAACAGCAAGTTAGCATGGTTAAAGTAATTTACATTTTTTCTCAGTTTGTCATTTCTGGAAAAGAACAACTCATCAGCAATTGTTTCTTTCCCAACTGAAATTATTAATTGTTGGTAAGACTATAGGAAGTCAGTTCTTGTACCTGTAGGAAAAAGGCTCAGAATAATGAGCATTTCCTGATTGGGAACTTATTGATATGTACAATTCTGATGTCATATTTTGATTGTGAATTGAATGAAAAAATTAAGAGTAAAAAGTGCATAATTTAAGGCATGTGTTAGGAAGAGGGCCAAAACAGATACCCTCAAGCGAGGTAGACTTACATAGATGTGTCTTTCTAGTTACCAAGGCCAAACATTTAATTTAATTTGTCTAGAAAGTCAGTTAAGAAGGACATGGGAAAAATACATCTATAAAACTTAAATGAAAGAAATACAAAGATAAAGTCTCTGTAAAAACTCTCCAAAAGCTATGAGAAGCATTTCTGCATTTTTTCACCCAGTAAAGATTATCAGGTGATATTTAAACAGCCATTTGAACACCTGTAGGACCAGAGACTATATGAAATGTTTACTCTTTCTTCTGTTAGCATTTTGCCCTAGAATTACTCTCACCTCATACAACTGATGTTAAATTTATTTTTCAGTTTATAACACCATCCAGTTTTGCTACATGTACAGACAAACATTAGGGAATCAACATTTTTCCATGGAAATAATTTTTCAAATGTTTAATTGTTCCATAATGTTACACTGTTCAATATCACATTAATGTTACAAATGTTTAATGGCACCTTTTTCAAATGTAGAACTCTGGCATCTGCTCAGACTTCAGACTGCAGAACTTCTCAGCTCATGCTAAAATAATAACACTAACAATTATAGCCTCATTGTTCTCTGACAGAAACCCTTTGAAAATCTTGTCAGCAAGAACTCTTTTTATCTCAACGAAAACACAACGCACAGGTCCCCTGCTCTTAACCCTGGGATGCTTTAAGAAGAATCTCATCTTGTCCAATTGCAGTATTATTGATGAGTGAAAGCTTTTTTGTGATTTATAATGCTTTTTAAAGTAACACAAACAATATTTGTCCATATAGTTGTCAGGATCCAAGTGTACAAATAAGCCTTAATTGATCTGACCACAGTAAGGACTTTTTCCAACTGATCACTACCATTAGCTCTTCAGTATCCAACAGGCTGTAATTGAAATCAAAGGCAAGTATGGCTTGCAGAACAAGAGGGGAAAGAAGAGTACTGATGAACTATTGATAATAAAAGTGTTGATCGTAAAGTCCATTATAGTTCCCAAGCTTGAACAGCTGCTGTTTCCTGAGGTTTTGGACTCATTCTTGGGAGTGGTCTAAGGAAGTAAGAGCTAGAGGTACACAGGATTTGCAGGAAGACCCTGAAAGGCAGAGACTGTACTGCACAAAGCAAACTCAATTTTCCTGAAAGAAGCCGAGAACAAGGTTTTTTAGTTTTTGGTGGAAAAAAAAAAGGGGCGGTGGAAGAGAGAATAAAAGGAAGAAGTAACAGAATTACAGAAGCAAAAAGAGAGATCAAGTAAGAAGGGAGAAATGAGAAGAAAATGAAAAGACAGTTTGAAGCCAAAGAATCTTTGGGACAAACAGGGCATGGAAATGTTCAGGTCATATTGATACTAATGAGTATGCATATTCCAAGATACATCAGCTACTTCTCACTTAGAATGCAACTTAGAAGTGCAGGAAATTGGTGCTCGTGGCAGTGAATATGCCTGTATTTTCCTCTGATGATGATGAGAAAAGCGAACTCTACGGTCCATTCAGTCATTTAGTCTATTCTTGTATGAATCGCTCTAAGACAATTGTCATGAAGGATATCACAAAGAAAGGAAAATGAGGCCCAGCTGATACTGTGCTGGCTCAGAGGACGCAACGACCAGGAAAAGAGGTCTTTTATCACTCTATAGACTGGTTTTCTGTTCTCTATCCATTGATACTAGTGCAATATCCCAGCATGCTCTTAACAAGTGCTGCAGGGCTTAAAATTTTCTTCTTAGAAAGTATGTTCCTGTTTTATAACTCAAGCCTGGATGACCGGAGGCCATGCTTTGAAAGACATTTTAAGCCCTCTCTATTTCAATTTTGGATGTCCAAGTTCAAATGGAACTCTGGATTTACATAGATACGATCTTGCATTCTCTATTAGACACATTCTAGAAGTCTAAGGGGATATAATGGCAATGTTGAGTTGGGAAGGGTTCATACTATATGGACAAGTATTGTTTGCGCTGCTTTTACAGACATGAAGCACAAAAAAGCTTTCATTCATCAATAATGCTGCAACTGGACAAGACAAGATTCTTAAAGCATCCCAGTGTTAAGAGCAGGGGACCTGTGCACTGTGTTTTTGTTGAGATAAAAAGAGTTCTTGCTGACAAGATTTTCAAATGGTTTCTGTCAAAGAACAATGAGGCTGTAATTGCTAGTGTTATTATTTTAGCATGAGCTGAGAAGTTCTGCAGTCTGAAGTCTGAGCAGATGCCCGAGTGCTATGAGTAACTTAATACTGATGACTATTAGAGTTGGTGTTCTTACCAGTTTGGCAATTTAAAAAGAACTAAGGTAAGTATTACATGTGCAAGCTTTGAAACAACAGCAAATTTAAACAGGCACATGATTTTAAGCACATAACTAGTCTCTCTGAAGTTAACAGAAACATTTTCAGGATTAAATTAAGCATGTGGTATATATTCCATCCTTCGTTGTGTTGGAATCAGTTTGCAGAACAAATGCTTTGGTCTTTTAATCAAAGTTACAGAGTAAAAGTAAATATTCTAGGTTGTAGATTAATTCATGTCTAGTCATGCTATAAGTACTTCACGACCAGAAGAATCGCAAAGCAAATTGCACTGAGTTGAATTGGTCTGTCAAGACTACAGAGAGGGCATGCAGAGATCAGAAATTACTTTTTTGGCTCCTGTGTTCCAACACTGTTTTAATCTGACAGAGATCTTCCCTGCAGCAAGTCCTGAAAACTGTAAAAAGCTCTGAATATATAACATGAGGCTATTTTATTTGCAGCTCGTCTACTTTGCAGAGAAAAGATTAGTGTGCATTAACAGATGAGCACATTTATGCATGGAGAGTGATTATCTTGATCATCTAAGACTTGATCTCTTACAGTTTCCAACTTTGACTGTGTAAACTCTTGGCTAAACTAAGCACCTAGACACATGATTTGATGGAGTCATGTGCCCCTGTGGCATGCTAGAGGGAAAAGAAATAATTTTAAAACCTAACTATAAGTTTTAAATTAGACAAGACACACTTAATCTTTCAAACTTTTGCCTCATAAAGAATGTAAAATCAGACTTATATATATCCAAAGCTCGGTTTTGAAATTTAATATGCTACATTGAAATAGAAAAATTGAATGGAGCAATAGAGAGTGGTTTAACCCCCTTTTTTTTGGCATTGTAGGGAGAACAAAACCCAGTATCCTACTTATCCTTACTGCCGCGTCTGGTATTTTAGTTATATGCTAAGGACATTTCACTCAAGTTTCTCATGTGATTCTGGTCTGAAATCTCAGTAGCAAACCAGACACAATTTCTCTCTACTGGACGGTACCCGTTGTATTGTTTCAAACACATCAGCGTCTGGTTCAATAAATGGCTGACCATAGTCAGTACTTTTGGAGGACTGGACATCCCTTTGATTCAGCAAAACAAATGTTATGCTACCTTCAGTTAATACATCAAGCAGATACATCCTATACCCATGTAAACTTATACTGCAGCTACTTGAAGAGCCAAATGAAATCTAACAAGCTTACCTCTTGCTCATTCACAGAAAGAGCCAAGTAAACAAAGAAATCAGGTATTCTCTGTGACATGATTAACAGATCCTGGAGTAAAAACATCACTGACAAAACACAAAGGAGTTTACAAACCTTTTGATGTTTGTTCAGCTACTGAAAGTACCAAGGGATTTGAGAACTAATTCTGAACCATTTTAAAGCTCCATAGCAGAGACAAACACAGAGCAGAAGGCAATAACTGAGCTGTACCTGAACATCACCACAGAGGTGACTCTGTGATCTAATGCTACACAGCTAACTCATCTACATAACCAGCTCACAAACACAGCGGTGCTCACAATACAGGATGAAAAACCAAAATTCAAGAGTTTTATGCCAACTCTGTAGCACCTAGGATGGGCAACAGTGGGGGCCTGTCTAGTGATAATGGCTGACCTTTTCCAGCTGTCTCTACACAGGAGATGAAGTCAGCCCTGGGTAACTTTCCATTCTTATCCTAGAAAACCTGATCCAAGTCATCAATCTACAGGCCTGAGATAAGGCATGCTGTTTTATATCAAAGCATTGCAAGACACCTGCTCAACAAGAAGATCTAAACTAATTCAGTTGAAGATCATTGCATTTTAAGAAGCAGACTTGTGTTCTGGAAGGTAAGCACTGACAAAGTTTTTGAGGCAATTCTGATGATGTAGATTCTTTTCACCCTCTCAAAAAGAAATAACAGCATACACACAGTCAGTGACAGATTCTGTCCTAAGCGCTCACTGATGGAACAACAATAGTAAAAGTAAATAATAGTGTTCTAGAACAATAGAAAATACTGAAGTACAATTTATTGAAGAAAAAACTTATGTAACACCTGTTCTATAAATGCAATTCAGTGGAACACTTCTCCATCAGACAGAAATTACAGAAATGCTAGCTTCAGGGAACTTAAGTGAAAGACACGGTAAGAAAGCTATTATTGTATTACATAAAATAGTCCTCTGTCTTTTTTGTCCCCCTTTCCCTAAAGGCATTGCTGTTTCATCATAATTAGTGCTCTCATCTGAATTATATGACAAACCATTATATTTTTATTTAGCAAGCAAGTAAATCTGACAATGATAAATAAAGAACAGCTGATGAGGAAAATGCCCATAGCCCACAGATTGTTCACCCATCCTTTAAAAAAAGGCACAATAGTCAAACTGTTCTTGTAATCAAAGAGCTTACTGAATTCCCAGTTTAAATTATATACCAGCTTCTCTAACCCTTAATTAATCACACCACTCATTCTGATTTGTCATTACTTCTATATACAAAATAATATTTACTATTTATTTTATTACTGGTGCTTTGCTGTCCTCTGGAGAGACCACTAACCACTAGAGATATGTAGGGAAATGTTCTACTGTCATATGGGCATTTTACATTTGAAGTCTCCTCTTCCAAATGCAGAGTAAAAGTATTTTAAGTTTTCCAGCAAAAGTAACCCCCAAACCATCAGTTTGGTTAAGTTGAAACGTTTTGTTTGGACATAATTTATGAGAAATGTTTCAAAGTTGATATTCACATTTTTGAAGTTTTAAAATAGAAACAAAATATTAAAAGTGAAGATAACTTCATACCAAGAAATAGAATCTAAATGCCAATATAGAAAGCTTTGATGGTTTTAAAACTTTAAAAATTATACTGCGATTTTTGTCAAAACATATATTTTTCTGCAAGTTTCAGCTTAGGGAACAGTTTGGTTAACAAAAGTTTACAATTCCTAATAACAAACCATCCTTTTGAAAAAGTCTTGCTAGCTTCAGAGGCTGACAATCTTTTCAGCACATAACTATACTGAAGTCAACAGAAATATATCACTGAGTAAAACTGCAAGATCAAGTCTCTGAATTATATGAAACATTTAGTCTTGCTGAATACTGGGAATTACAGGACACCATTTCTAGTTGTTAACTGCATGCACAGTAAATGTGAAGCCCAAGCTTAAGAAACTGGGAACCAAGAGTTCATTGAAAAAGTTTCAGTAAACAAAAAAATATTCAAAGAACTGACTTAAAAATTAGTGTAATGTGAATAATCCATGCAATAAACATGTAATCAATATAATTTTAATACCTTACATTGAAAAAAGAACATAATACAGATTTTTTTTTAAGATTTAAGAAGTGAAGAGAACACTAATAGACAGCCAGCTGATTAAGAATAAACCTTTTCCAAGTTTCAGGTGTGAAGTTGTATGCAATGAAAAGGTATCTTTTCATGTACAGATGGCAAGTTCAGGGTAAATGATTTCAATGTGAGAGGAAGAATACAGGGCAGAGGCATTTTTCTGTTGTCAATCACTAGTAAAAAGCTGTATTACTGAAAGTATGGCAAGTGGATGTATATTAATTTGTCATCAGGAAATTTCTCTGCCCTGTGCCTACTTAATCTGGTCTGATATAGTTCTCTGTCAATTCTACCTATCAATTTTAAAAGCTCATTGCTTTTCTAGCCTTTTGACCTCTGACCATTTCTTGCGATTCTTTTCCTGATGTCTCTTTCTGACATAACTTGAAAGCCTCACTCCACAGAGTATCACCACACCTATTAAAATGTATTCTTAAAACACCTGTTAGTAGGTCAAAACACACAGGATTAAAGGACAAAAAAGGGTCCAATGAACAGTGTAATAATTTCAAGCCGTTTCTGTTTTCTCTTTCTTCTAGTTTAGTTCATATTCAGTATTGATTTTCTCCCTTTCTCTATTAACAGCAGGACAACAGAGGTTAAAGAGATGTTTAAGACACTTCTGTTGGCAATGTTTTGATGGGTGAATCCTGTCTTCATGCAGGATGGAAGAGGATCATTCTAGTTTGGTTCCAGGAGTAGCGGTACTTAGATTTTAGCATAATGGACTACTCTCACTTGGTGGAATCATTCTGACTTGGCTCTGAAAGAATGCTCTGGCCATGCATTTGTGCTGTAAAACTCAGGTGATGAGCCTCACCCTCCTCCTCTGCTTCTCCTAGAAAAAACATTCCACTGATGTAGCTGAAACTCAGTTGGCCAGGATCAAGGTAAAAAAATTTCTCATGAGTCTGTCCTAAGGTACACTCTTTCTTAAGTTCTGTACCAGATACACAAGCTCCATAACTGCTACTGATGATAATACCAATGAAAAAAATGACCTGAGTTTACTGTGCATCCTAATTTGATAGTGAATACTTGTCTCTATTTTATATCCTTCAAAAGATCATTTCTAAGCACTTTAATATTTATTGAAAATCCCCCTGAAGAATCCTTGTTTAAAATAATATCTACTAGGTGAAATGCACCTGCTCCTTCCAAATAAGCTATACTCTGAACTTCTTGTTGGAGACTTGGTACTTTGACAAAGACACACATAATTTTCTTCTTCCTTCTGAAAGCATTATGTACACACTAAAGCACTGCATGTGAAAAAGCTGTTGCAGATTTCTGCATCATGTGATGTCCAGACAGGGTACTATCAGTGTTGGACTTCTTTTATTGTAAATGTCTCCTTTCTGATACTAAGCATATGAATTAATCAATCTATAATCTTATTTTTTCTCATTTAGTAGACTTGATAATATTACACAATATATTTGTGAGTTAATGAGTGCATGAAATAACAACATATATGGAGGCTGGTGCTCAAGAAATACCATATATATATATGATATATATATATATATAAAATATGAACAGAAGTCATAAACCAAGAAACAAAGCTGCATACTAGCTATAGCTACACAGATGTTTTGGAAGGCCTGAGTGCCTTGCAGCTATAAAGATTTGGCCTTTTTTGTGTATTATATCACCAACAGCCAGTTATAAACTCACTTTCTTGCAGCTCTCTATCAGCTTGAATGGCAGAAATGCAGGCAATCAGCTGTTCTCAGGAACCAAAATCATCTTGCGCCATAGCAACTGGGGAATAACGACGTAAAAAAACATTTGAAAAAAACAGTCAGTTGTGCTTCTTGCACCTCTCTATCAATATACTTTGGTTAGCAATCTTAGTTCATATACTTTAGTAGCTTCCAAAATAAGTTTAAAAAACTTCAATATATGCACAAATTGTTATAATTGGTATTCCACTTACTGCTCCCCCTTTCCTGTTTGCATTAATTACCTGTTGGAATAGCAGGATGACATGTCTGGGAATACATGGTGACTCATCAAAAAGCAACTTCATGGTGGGGGACTGACTTTGTTACAACTATCCTGAATAAAGTTCAGCCCTTGATTTATGAGCTGAATGGTTTACTTTCTAAAAGGAATGGACTGGCAGCAGTAAAACATCCAGTATTCCCAGAAAAGTAATGAATACTCAGTACCCTCCTACCTGTCAGGCCATATTCACTTTTAGCATAGGCTTGCAGCAGTGAACCAGTACACTTGTCATTTCTCTTCCTTTTACATTCTCATGTGGAAGATGACTGCTTTTGAAGTTATAAAATTGGTAAAAGACTTAAATACAAGCAATGAGACAACACAGCATTATTTTGTGATAAAGCCCTCAAAGTTCTTTAACACTTAGAGGCATATATTTCCATATTGCTGGTATGATCTCATTCGCATTCTGCCCTAAAACCTGGAGAATTTCCAGAGATAAGGACTACTTTTGTAGTAGAGTTAAGGCTTTCAAAATTTCTGTGCCCAAGAGATAATGTGCAAAGCCTTAAAGTTTAGGAGGATTACCATTTATGTTTGGACCTATATAAGATTCTGGCTTTGTTTATACAACCACAATTCTTGCACGTCTCTTTTTTTTTTTTTTTTTTTTTTTTTTAACAAGATCTCAGACCTCCTGAGAACAAATTGGAGTAATATAAAAACATTACAGGTTTCCTGTAGGCATTATTCTGAAGCAG